ATAAGGCAAGCTTTGGGGAAGAGGCCTCAGAGCTTCCAATGCTTTTTGAGCATGCTACTCTCCCCAAATCTCCACGTGTTCACCAACCTGGATACTTCCGAATCCCGTCCTTTTGGGTTTTTTTGGAGGCTCCCATTACAAAGGCATGATTGATTGACTTATCGGCCACTGGTGATTGATTCCACCTCCCTGCAGGTCAGGAAGGGTGGGAAGGAAAGGGAGGGAAAGTTCCAACCCTTTGATCATGTGGTTGGTTCCCCTGGCAACCAGTCCCCATCCTCAGGTGCTTTTCATAAGTCAATTCATTCACATAAACTCAGGTGTGGTGACAGGAACAACGAGAATTTATCCCTCTTATCACTTAGGAAATTCCAAGGATTCTAGGAACTTTGTGCCAGAAACGGGGGTGAAGACCAAATATATATTTTTTATTCTAAATCACAGTACCACAATTACCTTACATGGCAAAAGGGACTTTTAATTAGGTTAGGAATCTTGAGATGGGGAAATTTTCCTAGACAACCTGGGTGAGCCCAATGTAATCACAGAGGTCCTTAGGAGAGGGGGACAGGAGGGTCAGAGGCAGAGAGAGGAGGTTGACAATGAAGGCAGAGGGGAGTGATGCTGGTCATAACCCAAAGAATGCGGGCAGCTTCTACAAGCTGGAAGAGGCAAGGAAACCTATTCTCCCCTAGAGCAGGGGGGAATCAGAAACTAATGCATATTAAATGCTCATTTTGTATCAGTTTTCCATTGCTGCTGTAACAAATTACCACAACGTTCTGGCTTAAAACAAAGCAAACTTACGATCTCCCTGCTCTGGGTATCAGAAGTCTCTGATGGGTTTTACAAAGCTAATCAGCAGAACTGTTGCTCACAGCCACATGACCCCAACCTCTGCTATAGTAATGCAGTGTGCCAGGGAGATGATGTCGTTGGTTGGTACTCAGAGTTCAGTGGCAAGAGGTAACAAATATATAGAGGCAGATAAAACATGCGCATACTATTGCAAAGCAATACCCCCAATATGCCAAGTGATTGGTACAGACAGCTGAAAAGACGATTTTGCCTCCAACCCTCAGCAAGAGAAGTGGGATTGGCATTGGTGGAAGAGCAGGGTGGGCTTTCCAGGTAAGGGGAGTTGCAGAAATAAAGGCTAGGCAGGAGGAAAGTAAAAGCTGCCTTTAGAACCATCGGGGTGGGGGGAACCCACAGACAAAGCTTTGCGTGGATCGGTGGAGGACACGGAGATTGAGAAGGCTGCCTGCCTCTGGCCAGAGCATGCGCTGAATGCTGGCTGGAGGGGTTAGCCCTCCTCCCCTGCTCCCTGGTGGCACCGAATGCCTTGTAGAAAATGCATGATGGTTAAAAGAGATGTTTCAAGAGGGCAGTTTGGGGGCAGTGTGTGTTTTTCAAGGAAGGCGAAGCCACCAGCTTGGAGGAAAAAGGAACAGGTGTCTCTCTCCCCACAGATTGGCCTGCAGCTTTTCTGCTAATAACTGCATTTCCCTTAGCGACTCCTTTCAAAGCCTTCAAACCCAAACTGATTCAACTACTGCATACTGTTTAATCGAGGCCACAGATACTACACCTTGAATTTATGGTGGGACTCAGAGGCTTTCCTGTGCTTCGTGTCTTTTCCCCACCGCTTCCCTGTGAGACCAGAAATGGGAGCAGAGGAAAGGCTCATAACTCTTGAAGATCTCAAATTTTTGGAGACCATAAGGAAAAGCTAGGAGAGCGAGGCTTCTAATATCAGCTCCGAGTTCAAGAGGAGGAAAAAACTGAGAGGCAGAGAGACCAGGACACCAGTCCCCTCCTTTCCCCCCATCCCCAAGTCAAGCAGTACAAAAAGATTTGTTGTTGTTTTTTTTAAATCACTTTACTAATTACTCAGGCCTAATTGTCTGCTATTTGATTAACTTAATCTTATTTTCCTCCAGAGGCCATTGCTAAAGTGATTTCCTTTTAGTGATGTGGGTTCCAAGCTCTGTATTGATCCACCGATTGTAAATTTTCCCCCTGGTTTTGTTCTCTCTGCGATTTTGCCAAGGGTACAATGAAGGGGGAAAAAAGTGCATTTTTACTATTTAACTGACTGTGAGGCCCATATTCTATATTGACTTGCAATCGCTAGAGAATCCATTCTTCCCCTTCCCCCACTTGTTTCCCCCCACCTTCTCCTTTGGATTTGTGGTTGGGAAGGTTCTGTTTTGGTGTAAACTGGGATTGCCCCCCTCCACCTGGTTGCCAGGCAACGCAGCCAGCCCAGTCAGGATGCATATAAATGTTAAATTGTTGCCAGCCACCTCTGGAGGCTGGGCCTGTCAAAACTCCAGTGCAGGTGGGGGTGGGTGAGGGTGGGGGCGGTGCTGGTTAAAAATTCCGAAGTCAAACCTTATCCCCAGCGAGCGCTAATGAGCAGGTAGAGGGAGAAGCCCAGGAATTGGCTTTTAAATTAGTGTCTTCTGTGATGACAGGTGGTCTGAGGGGGCTTAAGGATCCCAGGGCTGAACAGCAAATGGCAAATTACATCAAGAGGGAGCCGTTTAAGCTTCAGTAGGAGAAAAAAGCTGAGAACACTCAAAGCTGGATGTTAGTTTATTTACTCATACATAGGATTATTCTATTCTATTCTATCTTATCCTATCCTGTTCTATGTGTGTCGAATATATTAATTCATTTAATCCTATTGCAATGCAACGAAGTTGAAACAATCACAGCCGACCTGACAGTGAAGAAAGAAAGATACAGAGAGGTTGAGTAATTCATCCAATGTTGCACAGCTACGAAGTGGCAGAGCCAGGACTTGAACTTCAACAGCCTGGGGCTCTTAGCAGTAGCACTGGGAGGTGATGAAGAATGCAGATTCTCGAGCTGACCAGTCCCGAGTTTGAATTCTACCTCTAACATGTACTAGTTATGTTCACCTTGCATAGACTGCCTGATCTCCTTGTGCCTCAGTTTCCCAAGTTTTAAATCAGAGAGAGTAATTATACATGTCCAAGTATTCCCATGAAGACTGGCATTTAATCACTCTTAGCTGTTATTTTAGTTAATTTCTGTGGGGCAGGGTAGAGCTGGATACTGACGGGGTTCTCTGGTCCTACCCCATCTCTGACCCGCATCTCAAATTTGAACTTGGGCCTGAGGCTCAGGGATGGGGTGCAGGAGGCAGGAATGGTATGTGGGGAATGTCTGAAGTTGGGTAAATTATTTTGTAATTTAAAAGGCTATCTGGCGGTTTGTGCTTTTTGGCCAGGAAATAGGCGTGAATGTCAAAATGGTCACAGCATCCAAATGGCCATGTCCAGAAGGGCATGACAAAGCCTTGGGGGCTCCCACCCTCTAGTTTATCCTTTTGTACTCACCACCCTGTCAGGGCATTTGGGGTCAGCTCCTCTTCATCTGTCCTTTTAGTGCTTTTGAGGCCCCTTCCATTTGTTTTTTTTAAAGATTTTATTTATTTATTTGACAGAGAGAGACAGTGAGAGAGGGAACACAAGCAGGGGGAGTGGGAGAGGGAGAAGCAGGCTTCCTGCTGAGCAGGGAGCCCGATGCGGGGCTCGATCCCAGGACCCTGGGATCATGACCCAAGCCGAAGGCAGACGCTTAACCGACTGAGCCACCCAGGCGCCCCGTGGCCCCTTCCTTTTGGAACTGGGTCTGAAGCCAGCTAGGAATTAGGTTTTTAGGGTCCTCAGGGTTGTGTATACAGGGAAGCAGGGCTGGGGGTGAAGGTGGTACAGTTTCTTTGGGGCCCACTCAATGGATGCAGCCACGATGGGAACAAAGGTGTTGGGGGCAGGGTGGAGAGGAAGCGGAGATGCTCCACCTGGATCTGCTCCAGGACTCAGGAACTGTTCCCCAGCTGGTGGGAGCACCCTCAGCAATCGGCCCTTTGGGGGTGGCTTCTACTTCAGGGAGTGGGCTGGTCTAGGACTGACTGATGGAGGGGTATGAAACCTGGTCTTCTGGCCCCAAATCATGGACAGCTCCGGAAGGTCACCTTCAGAATTCCCCTTGGGGTTGGCTGAAATTTCTGTTGCGACAATATGGTGGCTCAGGCTTTCCCTCCCATCAGGTGGACTGTTCCCCCTCCCCCCTCTCCCCTTCCCAAGACCACTACCCGATCAATCTCTGCTCCCTGTCTCAGGGTGGGCTTCCTGGGGGCACCTGGCGGGCCATAGCGGGCAGAGGTGGGAGAAATTCCAAGCAAATCAAACGAGAGACCACAGCCCAGGAAGTCAACTCCACTTTTTAATATTTTAACCATAATGCAAACAGGCATAAGTAGACTTTTGTTGAATTCCATCAAGTTAGAAGATGAGGACAATGCAGAAGGAGAGCATGCAGTGAACACAGCTTGGACAACCTCGCGAGGAGCGTGGGGCGGGCGTCAGTCCTTGGAGGAAGGTGCCGGAGCGCACGGGACACTGGGCGGACATTAGCAGCATCGAGAGCTCAGAGGTAGGGGGACGTCCGAGTTTCTGACAGTGTGTGTGTGTATGTGTGGTGACATGTGACACCCACTCTGCCCACCTCCCCAGCTCCTCAACCCCAAATGGAAACGCACTGGTACAGCAAGGAGGAGACGGCCAACTGCATTCTCTCTCTCTCTCTCTCTCTCTCTCTCTCTCTCTGCCTTCCAGGAAACCACTGCTGAGCCTGGAGTGGGTCCTGCGATCACAAGACAGCACAACACAAGGAAGACAGGGCAGAGGCAGGGTGCACGGCATCGGGCCTCGGTGGGTAGTAATCAGAGTGATGCCAAGAGCACAGCATCTTATCAAAATGGAACTGTCATCCTTTCTGTCTTGGGAGGGAATTCGTGAAACCACTTTATCATCATCCCCCCCCGCCCCAAATCCTTTGAGTCTCAGATAATGGAAACAAAGCCATCCTCTGCTGACTCCAGAAGGACCATGATTGAAGGGCCTGGAGTAGCCAGGAGATATTCTTTTGCCCTCAGGGGACATCTGGCAATATCCGATGTCACATTTGGTGGGGGTGGGGTGGGGAGGGACGGCTACTGCTTCTGGTGGGCGGAGGCCACCTGCCTACGATGTCTGGACCAGTGTCAAGTCTGGGCACTTGGATGTCCTGGAGTCATTTTCTAGAAGACTATGGAAAGCTGCATCTCAAGGCAGGTTTGCTCTTGCCTGCCAGGGCCACCTCGTTAAGAACGGTCTCTGTCCTGACCGGACGGACACAACTTGCTTGTTTAGAACTGTTCAGGTCTTCCAGGACAGAACAGAATCATAAACAAAGGTGTATTTACCCCAGACCTCCTCCCTTGCATGATTGCACGTGGCTCTGACAAGTAGTAACAGAGAATAGACTCAAGACCCATGTTCCAGGGGTGAGAGTTTACCTAGGTCCTCATGCAGGTCTGAGACTCATCAGTGTTTGGGGAGAGGCGGCTTTTGCCACCAGGTGGGGACCGGCGGTGGATCGAGGACAGGGTGCATATGACAGAAAGAGGAGAGACCAGGCTGGTGTCAGCCCCAAAAGGTCAGATTCAGGTTCATGGTGACCATCTGTGTTGAGTTCGGGGGGGTGGGGGGTGGGGGCAGTGACTCTCAGATCCATCTTCCCCCATCCCAGCCCCTGGCTTTTAATTCTTGAGTCAAACAGGACATTTAGATGCAGGAAACTTGACAAGGGTTGGGAGACGTCAAGGAGTATGGACAAGTCATATAGGATGCCCAGATGAATATTTTTTTCTCCTTGTCACCTGCAGGAAGTCTCAGATTAACTTGCCAATTCAGACAGAAGGCTTTGGGGGTAAGGTGGGCATGGTGACATGCTGGAAGTCAGGGCAGTGGAGATGCAAATATACAAGTTAACGGTTGGCTTCACACAAAATCTTAACCCCATAGTTTTCCCGATGGCATGAATGGCCAGCGCATGAGGGGTGAATGGGCCCAGACATCTGGCTTGCACATCCTGGCAGAGGGACTGTTGGTTTGCCTGCCATCTGGGTCAGAAAAATCTCACTTGTTTTGGACTTAGGGCAAAACCTGACCTCCTTTTGGAAGTCCAAAGCAGGTGGCTGCTGAGAATGTGCTTGGCAAGAAAATCCTATGTTCTAAGGCCAATGTCTAATTGGCCCGGGGTCGGTTTTCTTTCCTTGCATCTAGGCCTGGCTGGACCTTGGAAGGATGCACCCTGCTGGCTGGGGGAGAAGCTGGCTATCATGTCAGCAACTGCAAACTCATCTTTCCCTCGAGGCTGTTTTTTTTTCTCATGAGACTCCTTTCTCAGCCTAAAGGTAAGACTCTTAACTTTCTCATCTGTTCTTCTCCCCAACAGATAAGTCTCCAGGTCCTACTGATTTAACCCCTGGAGTGGCTTTATCATTACACCTGACTCTTCCCTCATTCCAGCCTTGGTTATTGCAACATTCTACGGCCGGTTCAACAGACCAGCTGTCCATACTCTGTGCTACAGCCAGAAGATTCTTTTCTAAGCACAACTCCAATGACCTTATTTTTCCCATGTGAAAAACGTTCCTAGGGATACCCTGCTGCCTGCCAAATAATCTAAATTCCTTGACATGCGCTCACCTGTCCCAAAGAGCGGGTCCCTGCTCACCTTCCCAGCATCTGGCTCATCACCTTCAAGCCTTCCAAAACTGTGCCTGAAGCCAGCCCCCATTTACTGCAACATACTCCTGCCTGTGCCTTTCCTCCCTCTCTTCCTACTTCCTGGAAATCTTATCTCCTCAGACCTGCAGGTGGAATCCACCCATTTCTCAAACCTCAGACATTTATGTCGATTCTAATTGTGTGTCTACATACGAGATCTCACTGTCTACAAACAGAAACTGTTCTTTGCTTCGTACTCTCCACTGTGCCTTCCGCATACAGGTATTGGTGAAGTGGAAAAGGAAAATTTGAAAGCTTCAATGGGGCAGGGAGTATAACTGGCTATTTTATGGGCATTATCTCATTTAGCCCCCTTTGCTATGTAAGTGGACATGTAGACTCGGAAAGGTCAGAGTTAGCGTCTGGACTCAGGGCTGCTTCCAAAGACTCCATTTTGGTGGGTCTGAAGCATTTCCCTGAACGGAAGGATACCTGGCTGTCTCACTCCGTAGAAACCAAGCGGGAAAATACTCCTCCGCTCAGGGAGTTAAATTACCTCTGCTCCTTTCCTAACACAAGGTGCTGGCTTTGGATTCACAGTGACGAACGGGGGGCATGACCATGTCAGCTCTCCTGTAGAGGGGGATGTGTCCTTCCTCCTGGCCAAACTCACTTTTGTTAAATTGAGTTGGAGTCACTGCAGGCCAGTTCAAGGGGGAGAGGGACAGAAAGGTCTGTAATCTAGGTAACCCCCAAATGCCCAATCAATCCTATTTTCCTGCTCACTTATCGTGGAGCCAAATTTTGCGCCTAGATTTGGCTACTGGGACTGAAATTAAAACCACCACAAGAGGGCAGCATTTACCCACCCTGGATCAGCGCTAAACCCTAAACCAGGACTCCACACTCTGCCTCTTGACAGGCTCCTTACAGGGAGGCTTTTCGTAAGAGGGGTTCTGGCAAATGAGAGAAATACATTGGACCAGTCTCCGGTCTTCGAGCGGGGAGTCCTGCAGCAGCTTGCGTTGGGTGTTGAAAGGTGTTTCCTTTAAAAACAAAAATCCTTCTTGGGAAGAAAGATGCATCCCGAGTCTATAATCACTGCTTTGGACTCCCTGATACATCAGCAAGCCTGCTACTGGAGGGGCAGGGGTGCATGAAGGAGGTGCCCAGCACACAGGAAGTGCACACAAGCACGTATTCGGGGGTGGAAAAGCACTCACACGCAGAGCTTGGTCTGGAGAGGAAAGCGCCGATGAGTTCCTCCTTGGATGAGGTCGGACAGTATAATTCAGGGTCTGGGGAGCAGGGATGTCTTAGCAAGTATCTCCAAAGGGCTCAAAGGGTTGAAAGAAAGCCCCTGGGGGGAAAGCTGCTAGGAGCCAGAACTGTGTATACAATGGGCCTCTGGAGCTCCAGGTTGGACAGGGTGGGGATGGGGGGCTGGGGGGGGGGGTGGGGGGTGGGGAAGGGGGTAGCCCGCCAAGGGCTTGTGCTTGGTCTCCTTGCCGTGGAAGCCCCAGCCAAAGGACACAGGATTAAAGGAAGGTGGGGAGGTGGTAACTGGAGGCAGCCCAGCTCTGCACTCAGGGGAGATGGGACCCCAGAGGGAGGGGGGCTGCCGTGGAGGGTGGAGAAAAGTGAGGTCCAGTTTGCCTTTTGCCTTTAAGAATCCCCTTCCTGGGGACACCTCTTTGGCAGCCCGTGAACTAAGGCCCTTCCAGAGAGGGCCAGGGTACTTTCTCTTTGGCAGCCCCCCAAACGGAGCATCAAGAAATACCCATTGTGCCGTACAGAAAGGTGATGCTGTCTCTCTGGATGACAAAGCATAACACAACAAAACAGAAGAACCCACTTGCAGAAGGCTTCCCCTCCAACCTGGGTGGGGGGGCCCAGGGCAGGCCCCTCTAGCAATTTCTTGGCTCTCTCCGGGCCTGCCCCTGATTTTGAGCACTTCTGGGGAGAGGGGGGGCCCTCCCAGCCCATTCATCCTGACTGGGTGGGCACAGTAGGTTGCCTGCTGTGGGGGGGAAGCGGGGTGGGGGGGGGAGTGTACTGACCCTGATTCCCACTGAAGACTGCACTGCCCATTTTTGATAGGAGTCAAGGTTCATTTGTCAAAATTATTTTATCAGGCTGGAAACTTGGGGGATCACTTTTAGAAGGCCAGGAGCATGAGGGCACCTCATTATGGCTTTCCTCTCCAACCTACCCAATTTACCGGCCTTCTGTTATTTCCTTCCTAGGGTGGAAGGGCCAGCCCCATTTGGGGCAATACAAAAAATAGCGATATTCTTCCTTGATACTGTTTCCAGTCTCTACCACTTTAAAGGCTGATCTATGCATCCTTTTTTTGCTTCATAACATTACAAGGGGGAACCGTGGACAAGTAACTTGCCCAAAGTCACCGGGGGGTCAAGATGGGAAGATTCTTATTTCCCGCATACTCCCTGGGACATTACCTCCCCGTCTTGTGGGTGCGATGGTCCAGGGAGGGCCAAATCAGGTGATCCCGTCTGGGGTGGGGCGGGGGGTAGGGTTGGTGAGGAGGTGTGCTTAATCCACGAGATGGGTTAGTTTCCCAGGGAGGGCTCCGCTAACTGGTACCAGAATCTAAACGCGACCAATTCCGTGAACCCCTTTTTGACGGAGCCTTCCCCCTTAATCAGCACACTCGCTTCTCCCCTGCCCTTTGTGACCAGGACAACGAGAACAGCTCCAAGGGTTTCAGGGACATGAGCACAGACAGAAAATTATGGACGTGTGGAGAACCAGGGTATGGTTCTTGGCACTGAAAGTCTGCAGGCCACACGCTTGTCCAGGCAAGAGGACAGATGGAGACCCAGGCCTGTCCCACACATGCACGCACGTGCACACATACACACACACCCCACCAGGACATCATCATAAAAAAGGAGAAGGGGGGGTGCTTCAGCAGCAGAGAGACCGGCTCAGACCCTCCTGACTGGTCCCTGCAGCCTCTCCAGGGGGACCCCAGAGCAACTGCCACGTTCCAGTGATGTCATGCACTGGTGATCTGCCCTTGTCGGGAAGAGAGAGAGGGGGAAACAGTTCTGTAAGAGCCACTGTGGATTATAAAGGCATTGCATTGCAGCAGGACAACTCAAGGAGAAAACCCAAGAGGGCCAAGGAAACCACCGAGGGGCGAGGACCCAGAAGAGGAAAAACCACAGCGACAGGACGAGAGGGACAGCGGGGGCCACGCGGGGTCCCGGAGGGAAGGTTCAGCAGTGTCCACGCTTATAAAACCTGCAGCTGCCCCACCGGGGCACATGGGATGGCCCCCCTGCCATCCGTCTGGGCAAGAGGATTCAGTTAGGAGCTGAAAACCCTGTGGGAAGACAGGGGGAAGGGAGTTAGTGCCAGGGAGGCCAAACTGCACTGTTTCCTTACGGAGCCACAGAGAAGCCACCAAACTCTGGGCACAGGGGCTTCACTGCCCCTTCCTCGGCAGGCTCCCCGCCTAGGACAGCACCTGGCCCCTAGCTGGGGCTCGTCTTGAATGCACGGACGAACTAACGAAGGAATGGATGAGTGCTTGCTCACCGACACAAACGGCCAGGAAGAGGGACAACGAAAGGGGCTTCCCGACACGCCGAAGGAGTTGGAATCTTAAAGGCAATACAGTGAGCCTACTGGACACAAAATATGTTTTGTATGTACGGGGAAAAAATGAGGCTGCTTAAGAAATGGGGTGTCTTCCCTATGCTGCCGAAAATGAGACAACCCAATTCCTACCTAGTTTAACATAAAAGGCACAAAGCGGTGGTTTGGAGGTACTCTGTGGGGGGGGGGGCATGGGGTGAGTGCCATTACCGTCGTGGTTGAGAGGTCCCGGCCTTAAGGTGAGGTTTAACTAGTGAGACTCAATCCAGTCTTGTGGTGCCTCACACTTTTCCCAGCAATTTTGAGAGAACCAGTGAGATTGTCAAAATAATACCAATTGGGATCTGCGTGGATGAGAACGCTCTGGGTAATCTGGGGGGTGTGGGAGGTGTTGGATAAAAGGGAGGGAGCTGCGGCGGGGAATACAGCTTCCCGGAGGCTGGAGCCGTTATTCCACTAGGGGGCGCCCCAGGCAGACGTGGGCATGCAAAACCAGGGTTCTCACACTTGGAGGGGCCTCAGAATCTCTGGAGGGCGCCTTAAAAACATAAACCTCGGTTCTCACTCCAGAGTTTCAGAGTCAGCAGGTCTGGGGTGGCCTGGGAATTTGCATTTGTAGCCCACTCTCCACTGTGGGAAAACCAGGGCAAACGAAGCCAGACATCCTCCAGCCATTAGGACTGGGAAAAGAGGGTTCTGCCCACCCCTCGAGCCCCTGGGAAGGAGCCTGCTTACTCATCGGTGTCTTTTTTGCTCTCCTCAATGAAGGCAATGGATTCAGATCTAAGGCGGTTGGTCACTTCATACGTTCGCAGGGTGACCCCGAAAATATCCTCATGGTACCGGTTGTCATCCTGGGGGACAGAAAAAGCCCTCAAATGCCAGCCAAAGGCAGGAGAGGGACAGGCATGCTGACAACCTGAAATGGAATGTCCCTTAAAAAGATGGGTTCTAAACAAACAAGATGTAACCCAGTGCCCCCTGGAGGACCTCTGACCTCCTAGCCCAGGTGGCAAAGAACATTTCAGTTCACATCTGAACTGGCACACCTTGGACAAAACTTTTTATGCAGTGTTCAACCTAGACAACTGCACAGGACAGTGCTGCAGCTTGGTTCTGGGGGCAGGAAGAGTCAGTTTCGGAAGGTTTCTGTCCAGCTACCCAGTGATCCACCCGCTTGTTATTTTCACACACCACAGCCCCCACCCATATTTAATACACGCACCTGCACACGCAACACCCAGTCCTCCTCCTTCTCTCTCAACTATGGTTTGGGACCACGGGTATCCTCTACCCTGAACCATAAGTGGGAAAATGGGAGCAGGCGGGGATGTCATCATGGCCCCTCTAATCATTGAGACAGGTGGGGTGAGGAAGAGGAGACAGGAACCAGTTGCTGACAAAGGGATCCAAGAAGCCAGCCTGTCACTCACCCTCAGCCTGCTGATGAACACGCCTGCATCCTCCGCTGAGAGTTTCCCCTGCTGGGTCATGATGCGCTGGATGGCTTTGAGGACATCGGCAGCCATGGTGACGTCCCCACAGACATAGATGTGGCCCCCTTGCTCCTTCAGGGCTCGGTACACTGATTCTGCCAAATGCTCTTGCAGGATGTCCTGCACGTACTTCTGCAGGGGGCAGGAAGACCCGTGAGAAGGAGCTGGGTCCTGGGCAGAGCCTGATACAGGTGACCCAGGGGAGCGGGAGGAGTGAGTAAGAGAAGGAAAGCCGATCCGAGGGTGTGCGAATGAGCTGCTCCCCGTGTTGGAGCTCAGCTGTGCTGAGGACCCTCTAGAAGGTCATGCAGAACACAGCCCAGAGCCATAACCCCAGGGGAGCACAGGGTGGGTCCCGATCTACCTGCTCCCTGTCCAATGGCCAGTGGTCCCCCCTGGGGTGTTAACACCTGTACTCTACTAGGTGCGGGGTACATCCTATCCTGGGGTGCCAGAGAAGCCCCAGGGCAGACAGCAAGAGATGGGAGAGGTGAGGGGCTGTCAGCTCACACCTGCACAAAACCAGCTGCTGCAGGAGGAGCTGGAGTAGAAGGTGGGCTAAGAGAAAGTGGGGTGGCTACAGGGATGTCCACCATAGCCTCCTGGGCATTTGCCTTATTTGTTCGGGATGCCTTCCACTTGTCTAGGAAACTGTCCCGGGGCGAGGCGGACACGAAGCTGCTATGTCCTGGCACGGCTGTCCTGCTTGTAAAAACACTGGTGTACTTCCACCCCAGCTGTCAGACGGCCACTGCCCACCCTCCGAGTGCCCACCCCACCCCAGCTGTCCCGGCCCCTCTCCTGAGACCCTCTGGATCTCCCCAACATCCAGGAGGAGCACGCTCCAGTCCTGTGGCCTGTGTCCATTCTGACTGGTAGCACCTCTTATGGACTGTTAGGTGTTTGGTTTTTTTTTAATTCATATTTAAAAAATATTTTTATTTTGGTAAAATATGCGAAACATATCACTTAACCATTTTAAAGTGAACAATTCAGTGGCATCTCGTGCACCACTGTCTTGTGCAACCATCACCCTATCTGGTTCTAGAACTTATTCATCACCCCAAAAGGAAATTCTGTACCCACGAGCAGGGACTCCCCATTCCCCTGCCCCCAGAGCCCCTGGTAACCCCAGATCTGCTCTCTGTCTCTAAGGATTCAGCTGTTCTGGATATTTCACATAAGTGGCATCCTACAATATGGGCTGTTAAATATTTTAAACTGATATTTTTTTGCTCCTGCTTCCTGAAATATAGAGCAATGTCCTGGAGGAGAATTCAGAACAGGTGAGGAGGTGAGTGGGGGTGGGATGTGCATGTGTGTACAAGCGTGTGTGTGTGTGTGTGTGTGTGTATCTAGGGCTGGGGTGTAGGGACTGTGCACGGGCCGGGGGTTACCTTTGGTTTGTCTGGCTCCCGGGAGTAGGCCGTGTACAGTTCTCTGAAGACCCCCTTGTTCTTGGCTTGTAGAGTCTCCTCCCTGTAGATGTGGTCTATCTTGGATTGCCGGCACCCGAACACCAGGACCATGGGGCAGGGACTCATTCCTGGGGACCAGGAAGATCTCACGTCACTCACGGCTCTGATGCCCAATTTGGGGGTGGTGGCTGGTGGTGCCAGGGGAGGGGGTACTGGGAACCTTCGTGCATGCCACATGGATAGAAGCACATGAACACTGGGACAGGTGGGGTGTATGTACTTGCTCACAAGTACACCCATGTATCCAGACGCACGCACCTGCGCACACCGAGGGACGTAGGTGAAATGTGTTCCGATTTTAGCACACCTCCTTTCTCTAGGTCTCAATCCTTCCTTCTGCCCCCCTGGCTACTTAGCATCCCCTGCTACTGGGTTGTGCCGAAAGCCCAGTCTGTGGAGCTGCACTACCCGGGTTCAAATCCCAGCTCTGTGCAATGATGAGCAACTTAACTTTCTATGTGCCCATTTCTGCAGGTACAAAATGGAAGTAATAATAGCATCTACCTCCTACGGTTACTCTGAGATGTAAAACATTTGAGCTCAGTGAATATACAGTGAATCCTTTATCAATGTTGGCTATTCCACCAGAATGACCGGTCCATGGGGGCGGCTTTTTTTTTTTTTTTAAGCTGTTTCTCTGTCTTGTTCAATGCTGTCCCTTGGCACCTAAAACAGTGCTTGGCATTTATTAGATGCTCAACAAATCCCTGGTTAATGCATGCCACAGCTGTGGGTTTCTTTCTCTCTCCTCCTGGAGCTGATCTGTTGGGTCTCTCACACAGCAAAGCCTGCTCTTGAATAACAGCCTTTGGGACAATCCCCCAAACGTACAGACACTTGACAAGGCTTAATATTTACTCTCCTAGGGCTGCTTCAGGTTTCAGATGGGTCCTAGCGTAACACAGAAATGTCTTCCAGGGATGGAATTTCACGCCCTAGAACAAGCTGTGTGGGAGACTGGTCGGGACAGGTCCTTTGAAGTATAACCATGAACCTCACCTATGGGTCAGGGCAGTACCATGACCCCCTCCCCCTCCCCCAGGGAGTAATGCAGTAGAGAGAGAACTCTGTCATTCCTCTGGGTGGCTGAGCCACAGGTGGGTCTGCCCAGGTCTGGGCGGGGTGAACATCACCTGGCTGCTGAATTGTGACCCACCTTTGTGTTGGATGTCAAATTGCCGTTGCTGCCAGAAACTTCGGAAAGGGGCGATGCCGGTGCCTGGGCCAACGAGGATGCAGGGCACTTGGGGGTTTCGGGGCAGGTGGAAGCTGGGTGCTCTGGACCAGAGAGAGAGAATCAGAAGGCTTGCTGCACTCAGATCTGATCAAGGGTGGCTGGGCCTTGGGTAGACCAGATGGCCGTCTTGGTGATACAGTGGGATTGCGCTCTCCAGCTGGGGTCGGGTGCCCCTTATCAGAGTGGGAGGTCCCACAGCTTTGGGGAGTTCCCCACACAGGAGCTCCTCAGGGTCTGGCTACCACTCCAATTCCCAGTTTTCCTCATTGCTGAACTAAGCCACCAAGGGCATCGTTTTAACTCAGGCTTTCCGGACCTCAGCACTGCTGACAGTTGGGGCTGCATACTTCTCTGCCATGGGGGGTGTCCTGTGCATTGTAGGATATTGAGTGGCACCCCTCGCCTCTACCTCCTAGATGCCAGGAGCACCCTCCAGCCGTGACAAAAATCTCCGCAGCCTTTGCCACAGGCGGCCTGAGGGGGAAAATCAGCCTCTGCTGAGAACCACGGTTCCGTGTAGGCACCAGCGAGATCTCCTAAAAGCAGGGAACAGACTTCCGTGTACAGAAGAATCACCCAGTGGCGTTAACAGCAGAGCCTTGGGCAGTGCAGCAAGTCTGGGCTCAGGATACGGTACTTTCGAAGCACCACTGGGATTCTGATGGTCATGGTATATGGACCATCCTATGAACACTCCACTCTCAAGAGCTGAGAAAAATCACTGGTCAAGACCACTGTTCAGGTACAGAAGTCACTGGCTGACAAAGCAGGAACCTTACCAGCTCAGGTATGGCCCTCACTGTGAAAAATGTTTAAGTTGTAGTTTTTATCTGATGGTGGTAAGAACACTTCAATGAAATCTACCCTCTTCACAAAATTTTTAAGTGCACGATACAGTACTGTTAATTGTAGGCAGGAACGTACTTTAAAACTGAGTTTGGGGGGGTGCCTGGGTGGCTCAGTTGGTTAAATGTCTGCCTTTGGCTCAGGTTGTGATCTTGGGGTCCTGGGATTGAGTCCCGCATCGGGCTCCCTGCTCAGCTGGGGAGTCTGCTTCTCCCTCTTCCCTCTGCCACCCCCCGCTTGTGTTCTCTCTCTGTCTCCAATAAATAAAATCTTTTAAATTTATTTGAGACAGAGAGAGAGAGAGAGAGAGAGGGAGCACAAGAAGGCACAGCAGCAGGCAGAGGGAGAGGGAGAAGCAGGTTCCCAGGCAGGGAGCCTGATGTGGGGCTCGATCCCAGGACCCCCGGATCGTGTCCTGAGCCGAAGGCAGATGCTTAGCCAACTGAGCCACCCAGGCGTCCCAATAAATAAAAATCTTAAAAAAACCCCACACAGCTGAGTTCGAGAGAAACAGCTCTGACTGATGGGAGGAAGGTTTAGATCTTCCCCATCTCCGAAATATTGGGAACAGATAGGATGGTTGGTAGATAGTGGAGAGAATTTCCGCCAGACTTTCCGCCAGTCTGCAGATTTCAGGAAAGCTGAGACTGCATTTGCTGGGTTGTCTACTGTAACCCCAGCATCTAGCACAGTACATGCACTTGATAAATATTCATTGCATTGACCTGACTTTGACTGGGGAGGTGGGGCTTGCTTAGCTGCTGCTGTGTTGCCTATCCCAAGATCCCATTTACTTAACAGCTCGGAGTGATACTGAGTGTTGATCTCGGTTCCGTCTGACTCAGCCATTTCTCCAGAACCCTTTAGGCTGGTCCACCCAGACCAGCTCAGGACATGAGTATGCAGCTTTGGGACAACTGCTCATTTCTCTTCATTTGCCACTCACCCTCTCACGAAACACGGGACCACTTCGTCAGCCTGTATCTGGTTAAGCCAGGAGGAGCACACACCGTGGTGAATTGGTCCTTCTCCATCTGGCAGAATAAGCAAGGTGGTCTGGTGCGCCTACTGCCCCCAGGGTTCCCCGTCCCTGGCCTCCCCCTCCCTCCAGTGAAGCTCACGACCCCACGCCAAGTTTCTGCCTTGGAATTCCCTGTCTGGATCCTCTGAAGGGGAAGAGGGTATGGTATAATGAAGCTGCCCAGGGTTCCCGTGGGTAAGGGTGGGTCTAACTCGGAAAGGTCTCAGTCACTGTGCTCCTGGTGGCCTTCCAGGATCCCGGTCTTGGAGCTCTCTCAGGCACCATGCATTTTAACTGCTTTATCAAGGAGGGAAATTACGGGAGACAAACGCTAGGATATCTGACTGACCTACAACTAGGGGACTTCATGCAGCAGAGAGCTCCCCCCTCCGAGGGATGGGTGAGGGTGGCTTGATCCAGTTGCTGCCTTGGTTGGGGAGGGATGAGAGGATGAAGGCAGTAAAAGCGCTCTCAGGCTTTGGGAGCAGAGGAAGCTTTCAAGTGCACATCTTCCCTCCTTCCTGACTCTGCCTAAGGGGACAGTCTGCCTGCCCTGCTTCTTCCCCCAGTTCCTGGCCTCGGGGTGGGTCTCCTCTTGGGGATTTGGGATTTGGCAGCCGTGCAGAGGCCCCTGGGGAACCAATGCAGACCCAGGGGGCTCTCCTGGGGCCTTTGCCTACCTCGGGTGCGGTAGGAGACAACGGCCACGGTGAGGTGCACCTCGTCGGGGTACATGTCTGGGGAGGAGCTGATGGAGTAGTAACGGGGCTGCAGCAGGGACAGCTGGGTCAGGAGCAGGGTAGAGGGCATCTGGATGGATGGGAACTCCTCCAGCACCTCCACGATGGTGGGGTTCTTGCCCCACTTCCATTCTTCGTACTCCTGCAAACCCTGTGCCAAGGAGAGGGATGCAGAACTTGCACCCTGCTCTGGGTACACATTTCCAGGGAGGGCATCAGAACATCTGGGGATGGGCGCCTGGGTGGCTCAGTTGGTTAAGCGACTGCCTTCAGCTCAGGTCATGATCCTGGAGTCCCGGGATTGAGTCCCACATCGGGCTCCCTGCTCAGCAGGGAGTCTGCTTCTCCCTCTGACCCTCCTCCCTCTCCTGCTCTCTGTCTCTCATTCTCTCTCTCTCAAATAAATAAATAAAATCTTAAAAAAAAAAAAAGAACATCTGGGGAAGGAGGTCAGGAGTGATAAGGATACCTAACACTCACACAGTAATTACTCCGCGCCAGGTCTTAATTCTTACGACGACCTTATGAAATACATATGACTGTTGTCCCTATTTTATAGTGGGGGAAACTGACCAACACAGAAGCTCTTTGGCTTGGAGGCAGTGATTCTGGGTTTTGAATCTAGGTCGGGGGTGACAAACTTCAGCCGAAAAGGTCAATGTGGCTTACTATGCGTCTGTAGGGCTCATGAGCTAAGAGCTGTTTTTATATGTTTAAATTGTTGGGGGAAAGGATCAAAAGAAGGATATGATTTCATGACATGAGAATGTGATATGAAATTTGAATTTCTGTCCCATAAATAAGATATGACTGGAACCTGGCCATGCCGACTCTCTTAGGTACTGTCTATGCTGTTGGGCTATCATGGTGGAGTTTAATGGTTGTGAGACAGACCTCATGGACCGTGAGCCTAAAATATTTACTACCAGGCTCTTCATGGAAAAAGACTGCTGACCCCTGCTCCAGGCAGTGTGGCCCCAGCATCTGTGCTCCTAACCATATAGTCCTGCCATATGCAAAGCTCAAGAGAAAAGCACTGTGGAGAGTGTCATGATTTGCTGGTATGGAATGTAGATCTGTGACCTGTGAGTTTGCAGGGCTGGAGATGCATCGGCAGGGAGCATAGGTCAAGTTCAAGATGGTGAATGACAGCCCCAAAGGAACATGTTAGGGTGTGGAGGACCACATGTGGGGGCTTGTGGACAGCAAAGCCCAGCTGCTACCAGGAAACAGAGGAACTCTCTGGGGCTCTGGAATTAGGTTTTCCTACATCTCAGAAGCTGCTCTGGGCAGTCCCTGACTGCTTATAGGAGGCTCAGATTTTGAGGAGTGAAGTCTATTATAAGTGCACCTTATAACCAAGCTTTCCTCCACGTCCCTAAAGATCATCCTTGCTTTATTGATAGGGTATGGCATCCTTGAGAACGTGCCTCCCGGACCTCCAGCCTCACTGACCTTGAGCTGCAGGGGTGCAATCTGCCAAGAGCCTCAGGAACTGCTCTCTGAAATGGACATCCACGGGAAACAGACATGGATCACCTGTGTTGGTCCTTCCTAAGGCTGCGGCTGCAGTTCCAGATGCTTCCATTCACACTTCCTTCCCTCTCCGTCACTCAGAGTCAGACTTGTTAGAGGTCTGACGGCCCTCCCAGCCTTATCGGACTCTTGCCCATTTTTCCCCTCACACAGGTGTTTCCCTTAATAAAAATCCTCGCTTATTTAATCCCACCTTGGAGTTTGTGCTCTTCAGAAGAAATGGGCTAATACGTACAGTTTATCAAATTCTACTTGAAATCATCCGATGCAAACAGTGCAATCTCTGGTCCCTCTTAAAGCAGCCCCTCCCCCATTAATTAAAATTTTAAAGTTATACATGTACATCGTGTGCAAAGTTAAACAATTCTGCGAAGTTTACGATGAAGATTAATGCTCTACTTCTCCAATCTGTTTCCAACTCCCCGGAGTGAACCACTTACAACTCTCTAAGTGTTCCTTTTCATGTCTGTTTTCTCATTTCTAAATATAGCCGACCCTCCACCAACATGGGTTTGAACTGTGCAGGTCCACTTATATGCAGATTTTTTTTCGATGAATATAATAGAGGACTGTAAATGAATTTTCTCTTCCTTATGATTTTCTTTTCTCTAGCTTACTTTATGGTAAGAATACAGTATATAATACATAAAACATACAAAATATGTGTTAATCAACTGTTTATGTTATCGGTAAGGCTGCCGGTCAACTGTAAGCTAAATTAGTGGTTAAGTTTTGGGGGAGTCAAAAGTTATATGTGGATTTTCTACTGCACAGGGGGTCAGCACCCCAGTCCCCACGTTGTTCAAGGGCCAGCTGTAATATACATTCTTTGAATTAGCCTCTTCCTATCTGCCCATCATACGTCCCTCTCCTGGACAGCAGAAGAAAGCTAAGCCATCCTTTGCTGATGGCTTGCTTAGTGGGGAGGAGCCCCCACTGGGAGAAGTCTGGGTAGTCCTCCTGGGTAGGATTCTTACTGAGTAAGATTTTTTTTTAAAGATTTTATTTTATTTATTTGACAGAGATATATAGAGAGAGCACAAGTAGGCAGAGAGGCAGGCAGAGGGAGAGGGAGAAGCAGACTCTGCACGGAGCAAGGAGCCTGATGCGGGGCTCGATCCCAGGACCCTGAGATCATGACCTGAGCCGAAGGCAGACATTTAACTGACTGAACCACCCAGGAGCCCCATTACTGAGTAAGATTTTGCAGGGGCTTGGGGCAAGCAAGTCTTAGGTTTCAAAGCAAGGATGGTAGAAATGTTTCATGCATTTTACCATCATAGGGCCTCCTCTATCTTGCAAGTCCCACCAATAGGTCCTCGGTGTTTGGAAAGACCTCTCTCTAAAACAGGGTACTGTGGGATTCTTCTCTCTTTCTTTTCTTTCTAAGCATGGGCTCAGATGGAGCTAATGGAAACTCAAGAGTTCCAAAGGAAGGAGGAACAAGAGTTAGAAGAGCAATTTCTACTGGGCCAGAGAGCTCTGAGATTCAACAGGGCTACCCTCGTTCTGTCAGACCTTAGTTAGAATGAGTGGGGATGGTGAGGACAAGCCAAAATGGACTAGCCAATATGGTGACCATCTGCAAACTGAAAATCGGCAACTCTTGCTCCACCCTGCCATCTGCTGGACAACTGTTGTAATAGCTACATAACTCTCCGACTCGGAGGTGAAAGGTACCGTTGGGGTTGCAGGAGGGGACCCACCTTGCTGAGGACCAGCAGACGCTGCTTCTCTTTCTCGCTGGTGGCCAGAGAGGCAAACTGCTGCAGCTGCAGTGGCGTTGGCGGCGTGGTGATGTCCAGGTAGTACTTGAAGGCCTGGAAGATGGTGCAGGGCGGGAGGCGGTGCTCATCTGTCCAGTTACTGATGACTCCTATGGAGGTACAATGGACGTGAGGGGTGGATGGGGGAAGGAGAGTCTGCACTCCAAGGGCTTCGGTCTAAGTCAGGAAGGCCAGATTTTCTCCTGGGGCAGAGGTTGGGGCCGGGTGAGCCAAGCAATCCCTTGGCTTGTCACCTTCCATGTCCCACATCTAGACCCAGGGTTCTGGGGACCCTGTGATCGCCTCATGCATGCAAGGAGCATATCCAAAATCAACTGAGCAAATTAGTTCAAAAATTAAAAAATAAACCAGTATTAAAATAGCACGAGACTGTCCGTCCTCTGGCATTCTACGCAGTGAGCCCCCCACTGAGCACAAGCTAGGAGTCTTATTTTGGTCCTGTCTGACCTCTCATGGTGTTGGCCTCTCAAACCTCTAAGTGGGATTCCGGTGTTTAAAATGACAAACATGCCTAACACTTTGCTAGCACTTTCTATATGCCAAGTGCTATTCTCAGCACTTTATTATTATTAACTCACTTAGTCCTCACAACAACCCTAGGTGGTGGGTGCTATTATTATCCCCATTTTGCAACTGAGAAAAAGGGAAGCACAGAGAGGTCAAGGAATTTGCCCAAGGTCACACAGCTCATAAGCGTGAAGTCAGGCAGTCCTGCCCCAGACCTTGTTCTAACTACTACACTGTATGGTTTCTGTGTAATTTTCCATAGCATATAGCCCTAAGCATGGCATCTACTTTATCAGGGGCTCAACCCAAGATAAAAAGTGCTGCTCCCACACGAAGAAGAACCGGCTGGGTTGGATTTATTAATCTACAGTGTTGTCTCTCCAAAGTGGTATCGCCCAAAGGACTTTTCAGTCGGGCTTTGACCACATGCTGTTTTCACATTCTGCTCTGACCGTACACTCTAGCTCCTTTGTAAAGGGGCTATGTCATCATATTCTGGGCTGTCAAGTAAGGTCACCGTGGTTCCTGGTTCCTGAGCCTGAGCTCACCTGTGCCTCCTGAAATGAAGCCCTGAGACCCATTTGCCTTTGCAAGTTCTTCAACAGAATGGTCAAGGATGGTCACTGAGACAGACCGGAACCGGATCTAATGATGGTTCAACCTTGAGTGCGCCATCTAGTGCCTCTTGATTTTAAGAGGAGGGAGGGGCACACAACAGCTGCTGTTTATTCGGTGGGCAGTGAGGCGGGGGTGATGAAGGAAGGCAAAAGCCCCTTCCCCCAAGGATGAGCTATGGATGTCCTGGCATCGTGGACATTGGCTCAGCCAGTTGGGCCATGGTGGTTCAGCCACGAGAAAGGAGGAGTCTTCAGTCTCATATGCTGGAGGAGACAGAGACCCACTCTTCCGCCTGGATTGGTGATTGGGAAGAAGGATGGGTCTCCTCTACCCCAGACACCCACTGCTTCTGGGACTCCCCGGAGAAGGGGAGGGTTCTCAGGAGGGGCCAGGTGGGGGGCCCCCACCCTGCCGTAGTTACCCAAAGCCGTGTTTCGCTCCTCTAGCAGCTCCACCTTCACCAGCTGGTTGACCGGAGGTGCGTCCTCCAGCCGCTCGATCAGGGCGTTCACGAGGTCCTCGCGGTTGCCAGGGAAGACACCCAAGTGGTCCCCAGGCTGGTATTGCAGCTCCTGATTCCCGTTGGTGTGCAGACGCACGAAGATGGTTGATCGGCTGGAGGGAAAGGTGGGGAACAGTCGGATAAGAGTCACCAGCTACTGCCTCCTTTCTTTGTCTCTTTTTGTGGCTGCAACCCCCCTCCTTTCATTCTCCGTGGGGCCGAGGCCAATGAGCCCTGTGCCCCCATCGTTCCAACCATGGTTTTTAGCAGGTCACCCACGAGCTCCTCAGTGCAAATCCAATGCCAAGTCCTGAGCGCTCATCTTGCTTATGGAACCAGCACTGGACAGGGCTGCTCACGTCCTCCTTCTCAACTCCCTTCTCCTGGGTTCTAGCACCCCACGCTCTCCCAATCTTCTCTCATTTGGCAGTTCCTTCTCATCTTCCCAAACTCTGGCCATTAGAGCACCTCAGGGTTCAGTCATCAGATTCCTTGCTTTTCTATCTTCCCGAACCTACCTTTCTTCATAGCACTTACCGGCCTCTGCCTTCTTGTGGTGTTTATATCATCCTGTGGTTTGTGGTCTGCCCTCCCCTGACTGCCGCCCCTCCCCACCCCCAGCCTCCAGGACAATTTCAAATTCAAGAGGGCAAGGAATCTGTTTTGTCCACTGCCCTATTCCTGGCAAGGAGGACAGCGCACAGCACATAGTTGGTACTCAAGAAATATTTATTAGATGAAGGAACCTCAGACTCCCAGGGTTAACCAGTTGCCAGAACAGACTCTGTTCTCAGTACCAACTGGGGTTCTCCCAGGAATCACGACCCCATTGGAGCCAAGCAGTGGAGTCCCCAGTCTGTGTCACGCCATCTCTCCTGGGAATCCTAAGCTCTGCCCCCCCTTTTTGTAAGTGTGGGTGTGCGGGGGGCTTCCCATATTATAAAGAGAAAAACATTTGGTCTTGGTTGTGCACAAATCCACCAATATAAATGTGAGAGATCCAAGGAGAGAACGCACGGAGAAATTGATTTATTTCCTGCCAGATCCTCTCCTTTTCCATTCGTTTTTGTATTTTAAGGGCAGAAGGCCCATGCTAAGGGAGGGCCCCAAGAATGAATTCTCAGACTACGATCATTTTGGTCCTTTAAAAGGTTTTAGTACAGACCTACCGCATTTTACACAATACCTGAGAACTTGGGGGCTGATTACACTTTGGTAAATCAGATTCTTTGTCCTCTTTGGGTTCCGTTGGCATTTCAGATCTGCTTTTCTTCATTGCCAACTGGTTCTTATTCAACATGAAGTTTCTACATTCTCCATGGTATGTAAATCAACACTTGAATAGATCAATGGGACTCGCTATATAAAGGAGTCTCTGGCACACCCAACAACCCTTTTGTGCTGCAAATAGCCACCGTTATTAAAAATAGTTGTGCTGGCACATTTACTTTTTTGCAAGTATTTTCTCAAAGCAAGTCACCCCTGTCCTTCGTATGGTGGGGAAAATTGGTGGCTGAGATTGTGAATGGTGGTGTCAGGGCCTGGGGTCCCATTCTCCTTTCCTGGACAGATTTTGCTATCTCTGGGGCACTAATCTTGTCAATTATACAGACTTGCACGGCTGATTCTGCTCTGAGCTCATACGGATTCCTGGTTCCTGGAGAGCAGAGACACCATCACCTTCTGCCAGCTCCAGGGTTGGAATTAGCAGAGGCTGACAGCCAGCAGGGGGCGCTGTGGGGCTGCTAATTTCGGAGCCTCCTGCACCAACCACAGGAAGCCTTTGAAAGGCCCCCAAATCAATTCCCACTTTCTCCCAGATCATCACGATTTCTTTCAGAAGTATATTTGCCTCCGTTCTTCTGGCCGGTACAAAATAGAAATGCGGAGGACCTGAACTTGCTGAGCTGGCTCATGCTCACAGCCATTTCCCCCAAGTAAGTCCTCTTGAACGTGACACAAGGTGGTCAGGCAGACAAGGGGCAGGAATGGGGAGGCAGCTGACAGATTAGCTAGGTGGCCCAGGTTCTGCCCGTGCTGGGAATTTAACCAGGGGGATGTTACATGCCTCTGGTCAGACATGGCTTGCTGAGACCCCCAGCACTGAATGGCTGCGTGGCCTCAGGGCATCCTGATGGGCTGGTCTTTGAAGCCTTGTCCGGGAAGCAGATTCCCCCCCAACCTGGAGACCAGTTGTCTCAGTTCTGCTGGGGGTTTGTAAGTATAGGATTTTGTAAGCTTTTTTTTTTTTTTAAAGCTTGGGACACATATGGCCATTGAGAAGGGTAGGTGGTGATGGGCTGGGGGCAGTGGGCTGAGTGATCGTCAGATAGGATGGTCAGGGAGGCCTCTGTGGTGACGTGATATTTGAACAGAGATCTGAACAATGAGAAAAAGGGGACATGCAAAGATCTGTTTGGGAAGAGTGTTCGCATGTGCAAAGGCCCTAGGGTAGGAAAAGGTGTGGCATATTTGGAGAAGGGAAAGAAGGCTGGAGTGTTTGGAGAGTGGTAAACACAGATGTGGGGGGAGGGAGGAGAGTAGACTGCTGGGCAGAGGCTATATCATGAGGGCTTCATCATGACCTGTCATGGCAAGAAGTTTGGAGGTCTCCTCAATCCAGTGGGAAGCCACTAGAGGGTATAAAGCTATGGAGTGATAGGATTCAATTTACGTTTTTCCAAGACTGGTCTGGCTGCTATTTGGAAACGGCTCTTGGAGAGAAAAGCCAAGAAACAAGGAGACAAGCTAGGGTCTACTGTAGTCACTCATACCATGGATGAACATGGCTTTGCTCAAGGCGGCAGCTGTAGGTCTGAGATGAAGTTGAAAGTCAAGTCCCGGAGGACCAGCTGAGGGCCGGACATGCAGTGTAAGAGAGGGAGAGGAGGCAAGGAAGATGCTGGAGTTTTTGGCTTAAGCCAAATGTTGATGTTCTCTGTTGAAATGGGGAAGGCCAGAGAGAAGCAATTTCATCCAAAGAGAGATGAGAATCAAGAGCTCCCCCACCAAGAACTGTCTATTGTAATATCCCACCACTCTCTGTGATGCCCCAGCACTCAGCCACCCTTCTGCACCTTTGCTCCTGCTAGCCTCTGCCTAGATGTCCCTCCTCTGTTCTCATTCCCATTCTAAAGCCTACCATGCGCTTCCCCTCCTTCGGACCTGTAGGACTTATGATCACTGATCACCGCACCCATTACCCGTTACAGCTCCATTATACTCCCTTCTGTATTGTTTGCTAATTGGTGTACCTAGAAAATGTATTTCCTGGCCAGACAGTAACTGTGGTCACTTTTCTCTTTAGATGTGCAAGGATCACCCTCAGAAGGCTCTTTACTTCCTCCTAAGCACTTTGCTTGCAATTAAGGGTCTGGGAGGCGAGGAATAATTTGTGATATCTCACTTATGGCTTCCTGGCTCAAACAGCCTGACTTTGGGCCAACTTGGGCAGGGGAAAATGGGAGAGAGTATCATGCTTTTTTTACTCGATTATCCCTTAAAACAAACCAACAACTTATAAAGCTGGAGATGGTAGTAAGCCTGAAAATAGGTCATGCTCCAGAGTGTGCTTCTAAAGAGAGAGATACCTACATACAATTTGATCCTTTTTGTGCTAATTCACGACTGATTCTTTTCTTTTCTTTTCTTTTTTTTTTTAAGATTTTATTTATTTATCTGAGAGAGAATGAGATAGAGAGAGAGAGCATGAGAGGGGGGAGGGTCAGAGGGAGAAGCAGACTCCCCGCTGAGCAGGGAGCCTGATGTGGGACTCGATCCCGGGACTCCAGGATCATGACCTGAGCCGAAGGCAGTCGCTCAACCAACTGAGCCACCCAGGCGCCCCTCACGACTGATTCTAATACTAGCTTCTAGTTCCTAACCTTGCTGAAATATTCAGTCTCTTGTAAGTCACTCAGCATAGAGTCAGCTACCCTTTCCAGAGGGGAGGGGGGGTTATTCTGGGACTTTGGTCCAACTTAGCATCAGAACATTTGCAAAGGGGGCGCCTGGGTGGCTCAGATGGTTAAGCGTCTGCCTTCGGCTCAGGTCATGATCCTAGGGTCCTGGGATTGAGTCCCGCATTGGGCTCCCTGCTAGGCGGGGAGTCTGCTTCTCCCTCTGCCTCTGCCTCTCTCTCTCTCTCTGAGTCTCATGAATAAATAAATAAAACATTAAAAAAAAAAAAAGAACATTTGCAAAGGACCTTGCTTTTTATGTACCATGGTTTAGGGAGTAATTTTTGTGATTTGGTCTTTCACAGTTTGTTGCTAAAGGAAATTTCCAATGGATTCTTAGTCTCTTCTCTTCCATGCTACTGAAGTCATCCCTTTCCACAGGGCAGAAATGGGAAGTAAGGGTGCATATTTCAAACACAGGGTCCCTCTGTGTATCAGAGATCCCTATTCTCCAAATGTTGCATTTAACTATTCAAAGGGATTCATTTCCCAACCCATTTCTTTAATGTTTGAGGATCTAAGTGAGTACATGAGAGCTTGGGGGCTTCATCCTGCTGATAACTCTATTAGAGGTCTGAAGTCCATGTAGAAAGCATGCATACTAAATTTGCAGGTGTTTGAAGCTGGGATGGATAAGGAAGAGTAATGGGAAGGTATGATATGTTAGTTGTTTTGTGCACCTCGTCTTTGATACAACAGCCTTGCAATGCTCTTGAGGACACCTGGGTAGCCTTTCGGCATGCTCACTTTGGAGTTGGAGAACCAAGTCTATGTGACCTCGAAAAAGTCACTTGCATTATCTACTTGTCACTTTTCATATTTAAAACATCGATGATGGGGCGCCTGGGTGGCTCAGGCAGTTGAGCGTCCGACTCTGGATTTCAGCTCAGGTCATGGTTGTGGGATCAAGCCCCGCGTCCGGCTCCACACTCAGTGGGGAGTGTGCTTGAGATTCTCTCTCTCTCTCTCTCCTTCTGCCCCTCCCTGCCTCAAATAAATAAATAAATCTTTAGAAAAATTAAAAAAAAAATGCCGATGATAATAGTCCCAACTTCCTGGGCTGGCCAAGAGTTCTGGGAGATCCCGCACAGAGAGGACTCAAAACTGGGCGTGGCACACAGAAAGCTCTAGAGAAACGTCAGCAATCTGCAGAGTCAATGTTCTCATTCTGCACAAGGAGACAGGGGTTCGGAGGACCTGAGTGACTGGCCCGGTCACATGGCTGGTGAGCAGCAGAGCTGGGGACAGAACCCAGGGCTGTCCAGCTCGTGAGCCCACTCTGTACACAAAGAATCGAGATTTCAAAAGATCGGCATGGGCTGTAACCGGAAAGTGAAAAAGGTGCCATTCCTTGGGGATCAAGGCAAAGGACTTCATTAAGGCCAAAAATCCTATTCACACGAGTTGAAGGACGGACAGGCCTGGGTCACTCACTTTGAAAAGAGCAGCAAGGACGTAAGCTTAATGGGAGAACGGCATGACCCCCAGGACAAAGCCCGTGATGTTGGATGGTCCATGCGTCCTGCTCACGCTGGAGGCTGGATGTGATGAACCTAGGGCATGTGGCAGCTATGATAGGTCTCCCCTGTGCTGTGACCGGGCCTGGGGATGACGCTGCCAGCAGGACAGTGTGTCCTTCTACTAAAACGAAAGGTGTGGGAAACTGGGTGTGAGGAAGCACGATCTGAAGGAATCAAAACCCAGGAGAGATTGGTCAATGTCCTTGGCTCTTAGCAGGTCTCTCACTTGGAAGAATGCAGTTTGTTTTGGGTATGACCAGAATATAGCTGAGATCAGTATGGAGTGCTAGGAAGATGCCCTTTGGTTATAGCCATAGTAAGATACTTTCTAACAATTAGGACTTTGAAACACAGAGTGGGCTGTTTGGTGAGGTAATGAACCTCCCGTCACCCCAAGGGAATTTTTTTTTTTTAAAGATTTTATTTATTTATTTGAGAGCGAGAATGAGAGAGAGAGAGCATGAGAGGGGGGAGGGTCAGAGGGAGAAGCAGACTCCCTGCCAAGCAGGGAGCCCGATGCGGGACTCGATCCCGGGACTCCAGGATCATGACCTGAGCTGAAGGCAGTCGCCTAACCAACTGAGCCACCCAGGCGCCCCACCGCAAGGGAATTTAAGCAGCATCTGGGTAGCCCGTTTTCGGGACTCTAGAGAAGAATCACCCACAAGGAGGAAATGTTCTCTGACTAGGATGCTCCAGTACAATGCACATTAGCAGTTCGACAAGGGTGTGGTCTATATTAAAAATTCCTCATAAAACCGTTCCCTTTCTGTTTTCCACGATGATCATCGGCATCTCCTCTCTTGGTCCCTCTAGGTGGGAGCTTGGCAAAGGGACAGCAGGAAAACCTCGATGCTACAGAGCAACAAGGGCACCTCAATGGCACTTGGGATGTTCATGGGAAGCCAGTCCCCCCGAGTCAACCAGGGCTCCTCCCTGATGGTGGGGGGGGTGCATCTGGAGCACAGGTGGGGAACCCCGAGCCAACCAAGGTGCTCCTACCTGGATTTAGGGCTCTGAAGGTTTTGACGGCTGAGGAGTCGAGCAGCTGAGACCCGCTTTTTGTGGACATTGGAGAGACCTGCGGTGAGAACAACAGTCTCCCTGAGATGGGGTTAAAGCACGGCCAACCCAGAGCCTCCAGCTTCTCCTGACCGTCTCCTCACGCTCCCACTGTCCTCTGGGGGTGAAGTGAAGAGATGAAAGGGAAGACATGGGGGGGTAGGGGGGCTGTGGATAATGCAGAAGCAAAAGCAAATCTGGCTGAGCTGAGCTGAGAAGAAGGTTTCAGGGTAACGCGCCGCCCTGCAGGACGCGCATTTGTTTTCGGAGCACCGCGCTGAAAGGAGATGGAAGCCACGACACCCAGCTCCTCGGGGCACCTTTCCCCTCCCCCTGTCGTCCTGCAGCCCCCCCGCCCCAGCCCCCCCAGGAGGGTGGGGGGTACCTTGCGTAAGCTCTGGAGCTTCGGCCATGTAGGTGAGACGGAACTTGTTCCTTTTCCAGCTGCGGTCATTGCTGATGAGGGAGTTGTTGGCCTTCTCGATGTTGACATCATCTCCCACGCAGAACACATCGCAGGCTGCCTGTGGCGCAAGCAGGGCTCTGGGTGACCCCGTCCACCAAGAGGGGCTCTCCGCCGACAGCTCCCAGTCATGGCGTGTATCCCTCCATCCATGCACTCATCCACCCATCTGTCCCTTCATCCGTCCACCACCTGCCCTCCTTCCCTTCTCCCTTCCTTCCTTCCCTCCCTCCTTCCTTCCTTCCTTCATTTCTATCCCTCCATCTACCCACCCTTCCTTCCTTTCCTCCCTCCCTCTCTCCCTTCCTTCCTTCCCCCTCCTTCCTTCCATCTGTCATCCATCCTTCCATCCCTCCATCTAAACCTTTCTTTGTTTCCTTCCTTCCTTCCACTCACCCACCCATCCACCCATCTATCCATCCTACCACCTACCTGCCAGCCACTCATCCACTAATCCATCCTATACTTTTTGAATGCCTTTGATGTGCTGGATATATCAGATTTACTAATTAATGACTTTAGGATTTAACCTCTATTTAGTATGTAACTTTTATGTCATTTATTCCTAAAACCACTATTTGTAGAGGCCTAACATTAAGCAAGAAAATAAACACCTTAGGGGTGCCTGGGTGGCTCAGTCGGTTAAGCGTCTGCCTTTGGCTCAGGCCATGATCTCAGGGTCCTGGGATTGAGCCCTGTGTCAGGTTCCCTGGTCAGTGGGGAGTCTGCTTCTCTCTCTCCCTCTGGCCCTCCCTCCGCTTGTGCTCTCTCTCTCACGCATGCACTCTCAAATAAATAAATAAAAATCTTTAAAAAAGAAAATAAACACTTTAGAACTTCCTATCTCTCTTCCTCTAAAGATTTAAACAATTACATTAAAAGCAGAACATATTGAATGTTTGAACACCTGCCTATGAATTTTTCTTTTCTTTCTTTCTTTCTTTTTTGCCAAGTTCCTAAGTTCTCTGACTTTAGTAATCCTAAGAATTACCATTTGGAATTCAGGTTTTTGGGATAAAAGCCATGGATAATTCAAGAGTGTTTTTTTTTTGTTTTGTTTTTTAAGAGAGAGTGAGCATGTGAGCAAGGGGGGGAGGGGCAGAGGGAGAGGGAGAGAGAGAGAATCTTAAGCAGACTCTGTGCGGAGCACAGAGCCTGATGTGGGGCTCAATCCCGTGACCCTGAGATCATGACCTGAGCCCAAACTAAGAGTCAGATGCTTCTTTCCTTCCCAGGCTGCCCCAGGTACCCCAATTCAAGAGGTTTTTAAGGGTAGCTTTACCCATTTTTTGGCCTTGTGTTGATTTTCAGACAATCTAAACATCCATCAACTGATGAATGGATAAACAAAATATGATATACACATGCAACAGAATATTACTTGGCCATAAAAAGCAATGAAGTACTGATATATACTACAATGTGGATGAACCTTAAAAAGATGTGAAATGAGCCAGTTTCAAAAGACCACATACTATATGATTTCATTCATATGAAATGTCCAGAAGAGGCAAATCTACGGAGACAGAGAGTCAGTCAGTGGTTGCCAGGACTGGGAAGTTGGTGGGAGGACTGGAGGGGTTGGTGATAGCTAAAGGATACAGTGGTTTGTAACAGGCCCTGCTTCTGGGGTGCTCAATCAAAGTGGGCTGGTTGAAGTCAAGAACCATAGTGATCTCAAGGGAACAAAAGCCAAGTTATCACAATTTTCCTTGTCTAGGAAGAAATGCAAGAAACAGTCTTGTAGACACAGCCTCCCCCCACAGATATCCAGATAGCTCAGGGGCCTCAGTTTCCCCTTTTTCTGCCTATGTGCATTGCCATGCAGGATGGAAAGTGCCAACTGAGTAGCAGGAGGTTGTATATTGTCCTTTCTCCTGTAGCTGCTCGAGAGAATGCATTCTGGGGTGGAGGAAGGAGGAGGTGAAGGTGGGGGGTCAGCATTCATGGCTTTTTGTTATTCCCAGGATGGCCAATCGAATCATGTCCCACATGCAGATAGAAGGCCATTATTCATTATTCTCCTGTGACATTTTGTCTAGAATCGTGCCGTCCAATGGGATGTTCTATCATAATGGGAATGTTCTGTGCTGTCTCCTGGGGTGACCACTAGCTTCTTGTGGCCACTGAGTACATGAAATATGCAGCCAAGGAATGAGATCTTTAAATAGAATCTATTTAATATAGCTACTAAATAGAATTAAAAATCTAATTAAAAATGATTAAAATTTTATACATCCATGATGGTCTATAAAATGTACATGTAATTATTTTATGTAAGATAAATATATTTATGCAATTATGTGATATATAATATTTCTGTCATAATATACAATATTCAATATTATAATTAAACATTTAATTATTTCTATGTATATATACACAGATATTTTTCATGCAACATAAAATTCATCATTTTAAAATGTACAGTTCCATGGCTTTTAGTGTGTTGAGAGAGTTGTGCAACCACCAATGCTATCCAGTTCTGGAACATTCTCATCCTCTCAGAAGAAGCCTTGTACCCATTAGCCAGCATTCCCATTTTCCACTCCTCCAGGCCCCGGGCAACCACGAATCTAATCTCTGTATGGATTCGCCTGTCCTGGACATTTCCTATAAATGGAAGCATAGACGTTTTGTGCCTGGCCTCTTTCACTCTGCAGGTTTGCAAGGCTCATCCATGGTATAGCAGGTATCAATGTTTCATTCTTTTCATGACTGAATCATATTCCATTATCTAGATATACCATATTCACTTATTCATTCATCCTGTTGAATGTGAATTCATTTACATTGGCATTTAAATAGCACATGGGGCTAGCGGCTTCTGTATTGGTCAGTGAAGATCTAGCACAAGAGGGAGAAGCTTGTCCAAGTAGACAAATTGGAGACCTGAGTTCCAGGGCGAGGCACGGACCCCTGGTGTGGCTAACCAACTTTATGTTTTTGGTCTACTTGTCTACTAAATGTGAGGGAGGGACGAATTCCTCCCAGCTCTGAAATCCCAAGACTACAATTTTTTTTTTGTAGACAGTTCCCTATCCATAATGCAGGGGGTTAGATTCTGGGTGGAGAATGTGTGTTTTAAGACCACCCAAACTCATCTGAGCTGTTGAAAGCTGTATCCTGGCTGGATACATGGAGGAAATACCGGGGGTTCTCTCAAGTTTGTTCTATTTCTGATGGTGTAGGTACTCTGTCTTTGGAGATCTTGGGGGGCATGACTTCTCCCCTTAGGTCTCTGAGATCTGGGCCGGTGGTTACCTTAAAGACCTTCTTGGCCCAGGTCCTGAAAGCCTCTTCTTGCCCACAGAGCTCATCCCCTTCCCTCATCTTCAGGATCCTCTCTCCTCCCAGCTCCTCCAAGAGGGTGTCCACAGCATGTCCAAAGGCGCAGAAATGAGGGTAAGCCCGGGAGCCAAGGCCAAAGACAGAGAACCTGCCAAGGAGACAACAAAAGGTCCATGCTAGAGGACTGTGGGGCATGAGGAGGTATCTGGTATTATGGATTCTATGTCCCCCCCACCAAATTCATATGCTGAAATCCTAACCCCCAACGTGGCTGTATTTGGAGATGGCACCTTTAAGGTGGTAACAGGTTAAATGGTGTCATAAGATTGGGCCCTAGTCCAATTGAATTTATGTTCTTAGAAAAAGAAGAAGACACCGACATCACTTTCTCACTCTGACGGTGCAGAGAGGAGAGGCTATGTGAGGGCACAGCAAGAAGGCGGCCATCTATCTGCAAGCCAGGAAGAGAGGCCTCACCAGGAACCAATCCTACTGGCACTTTGATCTTGGACTTCCAGCCTCTAGAACTGTGAGAAAATAAATATCTGTTGTTGAAGTCACCCACTCTGGTATTTTGTTATGGCGGCCTGAGCAGACCTAGACATCTGGTTATCTCTAGAAGGACCGTGTTTAGCCCATGGTGGTCAGACAGCCCTGAGCCCACCTGGGGAAAGCCATTTTAAAATCTGGGAGCCCTCTTCTCCTTTCCTTCTGGTCTCTGTTAGGTGTGACCATCCTCAGGAGAAAATTCCCAGTGGTCCTGGGATGAGTTAGGGATAGCGATGACCCAGAACCATTGGCTTGTTTCTTGTGTGTCCCTTTCTAAGCCAGAGAAATTAGTCTACTTTTTTTGGAAGACTTGAATTCTATCACTGACACAACCAGATGAGTTTTAAGTATAAAGATAATGAAAATCATAACACAGCTGTCCTCGGGGACCTATATTAACAAGGAGATCAGAAGAACTTGTCATTAATACATCAAATGTTCACTGTATGTTAACTGGAATTAAAAACAAAAACTTAAAACAAAACCCACATCAAATGTTGGTGGGTAAACAGGTTCTTCTAAAAGGGGATGAAAGATTTATAAATATGCTGACTCCACCCCTTGCGATGTCTATGAAATTAATTTGCTTTGCAAACCCTCTTTGCCTAGATACCACCAAAAAAACATGGGCGTTTGAATCAGTGGGGGTCAAGTTAATGAGATTTTCCTCTCTGTTAAGGTGGGCTGCCTTGATTGAGTACGAGAAGGGAAGGACTATGTCTCAGATGGCCACTCTTGCTAGTTCACTGTCCTAGAGACACTTTATGTCATACTTTCAGGGCTCGGTCCTGGCTGTGGGTCTCAACCTCACTGGGACCGGAGCGACAGGTTGGTAAGTGGGACAGGAACACCGCACCCCACTTTCCTAGGTCAGAGTTTTCTGCTGTAGACTGTCATCTCAGACAAGCCCAGGCATGGAGCTGGATAAGCTCTTCCACGCTGGCTCTGGTTCTGCATCTTCTTTGTTTAGGATGAAGGGGTCAAGTTGGCCAAAGATTGAGATGGGGGATGAGCGGAAGGTGGAGGGAGAGCTGGGAAGGGACTCCCACTCTCTCTGTCATTGGAGAATGCACTTGAGATGGGTCCAGGCATCTCATAAGATCAAGTGAGGGTTAGCTGAGGTTAACATCTGTCCTTGGACACCTACACACATGCTTTCTCACTGAGCCTCTTCTCCTTTCCTGTCCTTCTTTCCTCTGGGCTTGTAGAGTCTTTCCAAGGAAAGTATGTGGGATTAGGCAGTGTTTCCCTCCATCACTCCTTCACCCGTGATCTTCCTAGAGCCGGATTCCTCTCCTTTTCCTCCAAGGGCAGTGGTGTGACAGGTAGGAGAGGTGGTAACCAGGAGTGGACTGGTTGGAGGGGGCTGGGAAGGAGCACTTTTGCCCCAAGCCCTGCCCCTTAGCTTCAGCCCAATGGAGATCCGAAATTCCAAGCACCAGTCGTGACTTGTGGTTACAGCACTGTTCCTCAAACACGCAATATTTATGTTCACGGCATCTGCAGTACGTGACTTCCATTGATACTATTGTTTCCTTATTACTACTGTTTAACTTGCTTTTAATTTGTACTCGCTAGCTTATCAAACCCACTTGTTTTCACTAACAAATGGCTCAGGTGATTCATTCATTAGTATCTTTTCTGGTACACCTGAAGGCCTGCAGCCCAGTTACTTCCTAGACTCACGTTTCCACCACGATCTTCACCTCATGATTTCAAACTTCCTGTTGTAAGCCTCCAAACCAGGAACTGGCAAACTTCTTATATGTGGGGCTAGAGAGTAAATATTTTTACGTTTCTAGGCCAAGAAGCAAAATCGAAGCTATTATGTACACACTTACATAACAGACAGAAAACAAATTCCTGCACATTTTTGTTGACAAAATAAAAATTTTTAAAAATTATTATTACAGTTATTGAGGATAATGTTTTAGTACTATGTCTACTTATGAGGCTAGAATTCCTTTCTTTTTTTTGTGGGGGGGGGATAGCATTTTGCTGAATTGGGATTCAACGGTAATGTCTCCTATCATCAAGTGAATTGCAAATGTTCAACTATAAAAACCATTCCCCAGCTCACGGGTTGTGCAAGAGTACAGAGTGGCCGGGCTGAATGCACCTGCAAGCTGTAGCCTGCCAATGTCTGCCCTAAGCCATGATAGATTTAATACAGAAAAAATGGGTCTGGCTCTCAAAGTATAAAACTGATGTTCAATGTCAAGCTGAAACAATGCACTGATGTCAAACCCCACAGAATGAATAACACTAAGGGTGAACCCTAATATAAATTATGCACTTTGTGTGATAATGATGTGTCAGTGTAGGTTCATCCACTGTACAAATGTACCATTCTGGATGGAGATGGTGGTGGTGGGGGAGGCTGTTTTTGTTGGGGGCTGGGAAGGGAGTATAAGGGAAATCTCTGTATCTTCGTCTCAGTTTTGCTGGGAACCTAAAGCTGCTCTAAAAAAATAAAGTCTATTAAAAAGGGCACCCCTGGACATAAAACTTCAATATCTAGGACCCCTGTGATGTGAATCAGCTACCAAGCATTGCTGTGAGCAGGTACGAGAAGGTTCGGTTGGCAAAGGTCAGGAAGATTTGTGGCCAGGCCCGGATACTCGGCTTACGTTAGCCTTGTGTTGACTAACATCGGCAAAACCAAGGATGTGACATCCAGTTTTCTTTCTTTCTAAGTGCTCACTAAACTGAATTCACAACTGTTGAAATATAAAATATCTGTCCATGTTCTACCTAAAATGACCCTTGGTATGTGACCACTGTGCTTTGGTAAACATGGGATTGGGCCAATATTTTCTGAATCTGACTATACATTAGAGTCACTTGAGGAAATTAAGAAAATAAAAGGCAATACTTGGGCCTAATTCTAGACCAATTACATCAGAATCTCTGGAAATGGGGCTTGGTTATTGGTATATTGCAAACATCTCCAGATGATTTTGATGTGCATCCAGGGTTGAGAGCCACTGGGGCATGAGCATCCAGGGTTGAGAGCAGGGTGTCTCCAGAAGCTTCTATAAGGTGTAAAACATTTCACCGGGAAGGGTAGTTCATTGAGTAATTTCTAGGGATTAACTTCCTTCAGCACACATGATATGCTGAAGATGGGGTGAGATTTGGGCAATGGAGCTCTGAGAGTGTGTTTAGGAAGAGGTCACAGGACAGCCCAGCTAGTGTGCTTTAACAGGGAGGAGGTAGTCTCCAGACAATGACAGTGCAGCTGGTTATTCATGAGATGGATGGGAATAGAAGGGAGACCCCCTAACAAAGAGCCCACTTTGCAACTGAATCCAGTTCACCAAGATGTCTTCCCTGATGCCCTCAGCCCCTGCTCACCTCACGTTTGCCAGGGGTCCGGCACTCTCAAAGTTGTCTCTGAGGTCTGGCCCATCGCCCGATGATTTATGGGAGTCAGAATATGAGGAAACGCTATTGAATCGGACCTTGTAGCTCCTGCCAAAACAGAAGAGAGCCTGTGAGCTCTGGCTTGGAACCCCCTCTTGAGCTCAATACCCCAAAGGATCTTCAAATGACCAGTCCCGTTTCTAGGACTTTCTCTTGCATGTTGAGACCATAAGGCTTCTATTGACTCTTCCAGAATGGATCAACTTATCTTCATCCATCATGATGATAGCTAGCCATCTGCACATGACACCACTTGTATTTAAAATGTTTCTGACCTCACTCGACTCAGGAATCTTGAGAGCAAGATGGTCAAAATGATTTAGTGGGCAAAAAGTCACAAATAGAACAGACCATCCCCTAACCATTAGACCACACTTCCTTGCTTCCCAAATTGTAAAGAGCACATGAATCATCCTGGGATGCTGTTAAAGAGTACAGATTCCGATGCAGCAGTTCCAGGCAGGGTCTGAGGTTCTGCATTTCTAAGAAGTACCCAAGAGGTGCCAATGCTGCCGGTCCCCAGACCTCACTCTGAATAGCCAGGAACTAACTTTGCTGTCCACTGTGGTAGCTCTGTGTATCTACTGAAATGTAAAGTTAAATGGATTTGAAAGAAATACAGTTAAAAATTCTGTTCCTCACTTGCACTAGCCATGTGTCAAGTGCTCAGGAGCCACATGGGTCTAGTGGCTGCCATACTGGATAGCAGAGCTATAGAACGTTTACACCACCCTAGAAAGTTTTATTGGATTGTGCCGGACAACTCCCATTCAATACTCTCTCCATCAGGTTATGGACCTTGCACATTTCAAGGAGCTGTCACATTTCCCATTTCAAGGAAATAGTGGAAAATGTTCAGCACTGAGATGTGGCACGAAAAGAGATTGAATTTCTTATTAAACTCTTTTGAAGGGGAAGGAAGATGTCACTGGGACGGAAACCTCAGCACGAGAGGCTCGGGAGCCTTGAGACTTCAAAGAAAGATCCAGTTTCCCTGTTCTCCTCCAAAAGTGGGAAGTATTATTCTCAGGCAAAGCAAAAAAACAAAACATAAAACAAAACAAAATCCCAAGACCAGAAAGCAAAACAAAACAACTCCCCACAAACAAAAGACCAACACCCAAACCAAAACAAACGACTCAACAGACAAATCTGAGTGCAAAAGACAAAAAAAGGCATTGCTCTTTCTGGCAGGCAGGGCTTCTGAGCTGGACGTTCTTCAAAGTTTTCGTTCCAGCATCAGGAAAAGTTCTAAATATATGTAAGTGTATTTTCTGCCCCAAAATAGTCTCACATTGAGTCATTTCTGCAAATAAGTCATGCAACATATCAGGGGGCGGCTGTGTTGTTAGTGTGGGAGGGATGGTTAATGCTTGTGGGTTAAAAATAACAGCACATGTATTTGTATGAGGTTTGAGGCTTTTCCAAATGCTTTCCTCTTTGTTTTTATCCTTTGATCCTCTCAACAACTCCCAGGGGTGGTTGGGGCAGAGACGGTTTCTCCCCATTTGGCAGATGAGAAAGACTGAGGTCCAGAGAGGTCAAATGCCTTGCTCAAGGTTGCTTGGTGAGTTAGCAGTACAGCCTGGTTTAGGACTCAGGTCTCCTTGAGACCCAGATGTGGCCTTGGATGCTTGCGCACTGGGCACACACACCCGCATGCGTCCATGAACACGGGGCATATATATGTGCACACACGTGCATGAACATGTGTGCACACAGATGGGCACGCATGCACATGCACACACGCACACACACTCTACCTCTGCTGGCTGTCACGGGCTGCAGCCAGACGGCGGACTCCTGGGTCACCTTGGGGGAGGGGAGGCCCTTTACGGGGAAAGAAACGCAAGCGTTCCGGGTACCTAGAGGGGAGAACGGATGGTGCCCTCTCTCTCCCTGAAGGAGAGGTGAGGGGGAGCCTGTGGTGGTCACCTGGGAAGGAGAGGGGCAGGGAGAGCGAGGACAAAGATAGCTGGGCAGGAGGGACGCAGCTACCCCTTGGATATGGAACGTATGTGAGCAGGGCAACAGGTGCTTTGCTAAGGAGAAGTGTCAGTCTCCCCAAAAGACAGCTCAGCATGCACACGCCCTAAGGACCACATAATCTGCTTTATGTGAGACTTACGAGCTTTGCAAGGGTACTCATGATTACAGGTCACCTTACGAAATATCTTTAGAACCCAACCCTGCATTGGGACGCACTTTCACCATGAACATCTTTTGGCTACAGGCAGTTTTTTTTTTTTTTTGCTTTATAAGGTATTTTATCTTCTGAACTCAACCTCTATATTAGCTAGAATTCCACCATGAGCGTCCGATGGAACGGTTCTAGGGAAAGAAGTTCATTTTCACTGATTTCGAATGTAGGTTTCCAAAAAGGAGAGATAATAAGAACTGGTGTTTACACTTAGGGGCTCCTGAGTTCTCACAAGATGCTTACATCTATTTTCTCCCTTGGTTCTTACAAGTTAAGAAGTTAAGGCAGGTATAACCAGCCCTATTTGATGGAAAAAGAAACTGAGGCACAGGGCAGTGAAGTCACCCAAGGAGCCAAAACATCAGCCCCAGTGGACCCCAGATATCTACCAGTTAACATTGCTCACAAGTGGACCTTAGGTCACAAAAACCAGCCAGCACTCGAATGTGAACCCCAGATGCCAAAAGACAATTTTCAGTTACTCCCCAAGTGTGTAATGTGACCCTGGACATTCACTTACTTCCTTTCTTCGTGCATAGAGTTGGGGTGCCTCATTTCCATCAAAGCACAGCCGAATTTCTGGAAGCCAAAAGAGATGAGTGAAATGTGAAGCAGAGATTTAGGAACCAGAACAGGGTCGGGCACTGAGCGTCTGGGGTCCTGGCTGGCACAAGTGGAGCCTGATGCCTCTGGGGGTCAGGATGCTAGACATGGTCAGGGGTTCGGGGTGGGCAGCAGCGCTTGAGCTGCAGGTGCGTGTGGAAGGACCCTCTGATTAAGCGACTACAGGTGTGGTCCTGCCACCCCCAGCCCACAAATCCCCACTGTGGCTTTCTCTTTATAAAAATATTGTCCCCACTTCTCTCATCTGGAGCAGGGGATGCCAAGGTCCTGATGGGAGCATCCATCCCAAAGCAGGAGCTCACTCGGGCAACAGCATTTTCACCAAGGATTGGCTAATCAGCAGACACGAAGACACTGAGGTCTTGGAATTGTCCAGTCTTTGTGGAACTTGGATCCAAATCGAAGTCATGGGCTTTTGATGCTCTGGGAGGATTTGCTGCTGACTGGCAGGTGTAACTGCTATCCCTCCTTCTTCCCCCCAGTGGAGAACATGCTAGAACAGGTGAAAGCTCATCTTACCTCCCCATTCTCAGGGGGGTCTCCATTGCCAAAAGTGCTGGTAACCACCAGGACCAGAGTTTCATGTTCCAGATGTACAATGTCATATTCTTCCATGGACATCACCTAGGTGGGCGAGGGTGAAGGAACGGCGGGTGGGGGGAGAGGGAGAGGAAGGGAGAAGGTGACAAGGAGAAGAGTTAAGAGAGAACAAAAAAGTGATGGGGGAAGGAGAAGAAGAGAGACAGAGGAAAAACATGAGTCATCTTGAGCCATCTCCTTTGGAAGGAGAACCAAAAGTTCTGAGTGTTACTATTTCAGTGGGCTCAAGTGGGTAGAACTAAAAGTTTTTGGCAGTGTGGGACCTTTCTATGGTCACAGTGGCCTGAAGGACCATAAAGAACCTGGGGGCGATGGTGAAAGGGGTTGGCCCGCTAATAGAGAGGGATCTTGATGGAGATCCTTGGGCTTATAACCAACTGATCTTGGAATCTTCTTGACCACATTTAGGCTGGGAATGGCCAGTGCACATCCAACTCCTCTGACCAGGTCTGCTCAGCCTCCTTGCTAATCCTCCCTCCACCAGCATGGGACCTGGGCCAACTAAGTTTGAGACCCTTGTCATAAAGAAGATTATTGTCCTATATCTTTGCATCTCTTGAACAACATTTCTCCAAGTAGGTTCTGGGGAAGCCCAGTCTCCTGAGAGGCTCCTTGAAAATAAGTGAGCCATGAACAAACATGCTTATATTCCAACCCCTTCTCATTTGGAGATTAGAATACAGTGGACCTTGAACAACATGGCTTTGAACTGCGTGGGTCCACTTATTCATGGATTTTTCCCCAATAAATAGAGTATAGTACTGTCAATGCATTTTCTCTTCCTTCTGGTTTTCTTAACATTTTCCTTTCTCTAGCTTCCTTTACTGCTTGAATACAGTATATAATACATACAACATACAAAATATGTGTTAATCAACTGTTCGTGTTATCAGTAAGGCTTCTGGTCAACAATAGGCTATTAGTAGTTAAGTTTGGAGGAGTCAAAAGATATATGCAGATTTTCAGCACCCCTGACTCCCATATTGTTCAACTGTATGGACTTGCAAGTTGAAGGCTCTGATACTGAACTATGTTTAATGCAGGGCTTCCCAAACTGACCCCAGAATGTTTTCTCAAAAACCCTTTAAGATTTGGCTCTGAGATGGGGTTTCATTTTGTGATTCCTGGACTCTCCTGGAAGGTCATGGGAAGAGGGGCATCAAAGTCCTCTGCAATTTATATGAATATGCATATGCATGCCGATGGGCACCTTGGGGTGTGCTTCCATCCATTCTCAAAGGTTCTTCTCTGTTGACTCCCCTCTCTCCCCTTCCCAACTGTATATTTACCACGAAGAAGCAGGGATCTGGCATTGCCCCATACCCACCTTGGCATCGAAGGCGTGTTTGAAGATCTCGCACAAGGTTTTAGCATAGGCCTGCGACTTGCCTGTCTCTGTAGCATAAAGGATGGTTGCCTTGACCCTCTTGGCCATTGCCTGCCCCATGAGCTTGGCCGAGAACTTGACAGCTCTGGGGAGAAGAGGATGGAGAGGAAAATGGGAAATGTAGAAAGGAGGGAAGATGCCAGACTGGGGCTTTTGGGCAAGAACCATGATCCTTGAAATGTAGTGGGAGAGAACTTACTCTCTTGATCTCTGATGGTTTCAGGGACACTAAAAGCCTGAATTTAGCACCATATTGACCCCTTTATTAAATCCCTCCAGAGCAACTAGTCATGAGCTAACATGGTTGGTTAGTTTTGTTAGTTTGTTGCTTGGTTGACCAATCCCGGTCTTGAGAACCTTGGTTTGCCAAGCATGGCCCCCAAAGATGATCATTCATTCATTCATTCATCAAACGTTTGTTGAGTGCTGAATCATGTGCCAGGTATGGTTACAGGAGCTGAAGAACATAGACAATTAGCTGTCATGGAGCTTATGTTCTAGTGTGTATGTGTGTGTGTGTGTGTGAGAGAGAATATCATTAACAAATCACCAGGTATTGAGTTAGAAGGAATCTTAGAGGTTCATAAATCCACGAAGGAAGGACTAAATCAGGCTTCATCTTCAGGGTATTGCACAGAGCCTGATAGCTAATAGGCACTAAATAAATATCCATCAAAAGAGGGAATGAATTTTAAAGATGCTGTTCTCTCCGAATCCCTGGAGAGTTTAAATATCAAGTCTAGGCTCTTTCCAGCTAAACGGAAAATTCAGAACCAGGGTTCCTTCCTTCCTGTCGATGAGGGCGTGGCGGTGGCAGACAGGCAGAGGCCCAGGAATGCCTGGGCTCACCTTCTGAGCCAGCATCCCTGGTCTAACGAGGGACCTCAGAGAAGACAAATTGCTAATTACTCCCACCTGGGGATTATTGGTGGTAAATTCATTTTTGAGAATCAGGGAAACCACCCACGCTGCAGGAGCACTCGGAGCTCAGGGGGAGAAACAGAAAAGAATAAAAGGTGTCTGGAGGATTCCCTTTGAGTGATCGGAGCATAAAAAAGCATCTATAATTAACTACCATTGTTTCCACCCCACACTTAATAGTGCAATTAATGTTTTAGATTTCTTCCTCCCTTTTCTCCCCGAAACAGTTGAACTGAACTGAAGCCCAAGGCTGCCCTCCCCGAGAATATCTGTGATTCTCTTATTAGGGAAAGGATGGTTGCTGATGTGTTCTTGTGTGGCTGGAAGAGGGGGTTAGGTGGAAGGAGAGAGGTGGCATGAGCCATGTTAATGGAACAAGGACCTAGGTTTGGAGTCCCTGCAGGACCCACCAGTGCCTGGCTTCTGGGGTTTGTGGCATGGATGGCATCTGTTGTCCCTCTAGGGATTGTACCCAGCGAGTTCTGGACCGGAGGGTGTGGATGGAAGAGATGCTCAGTGCACACTCAGCTCCTCTGCCAAAAGGTTATCTCCATTAGATCATCTCGGTCAGCCCCACCTGACTCGTCAGCGGGTCCCTTGGTTGGCCACACATTCTTCAAGAATCATTACTCTTCAGTGGCTTGGCCCATAACCTCTTTCCCTCCCTCCTTTGCTCAGTTAAGTCTATTCATCTCATTCTTTAGCCCAATTGTCATCTTCTGAAGGAAGCCCTCTCTGACCTCCCAAACTCGGTCAGCTCTGTTTACGGCACCATGAATCACTCCTCGATGGCACTTGCAATGTTTACTGTATTTGGGTGATTCTTGGAAAATGAATGGCTGTGAGCTTTGACAGGAACAACACTGATCTGGCTCATCAGGCATCGCTGGAGCCTAGCACAGTGCCTGGCACAAGGTAGGCCCTCAGTATTCATTTGTTGGCCAAATGAATGAATGAATGAGTGTTGTTAGAATTCAGCCCTGGGTGAGAGCCCTCTTGCGTTGGCTCGTCCCAGTTCCTCCCACCTCTGGGTTCAGTGACTTCCTGTAAGTAGCTTGAAATTGGCCACAGCGGGAGTGTTTATACCACGGAAATCGGCAAATGTTACAAATCTGTTATTATTAACAGTACCATTGTTATTATTTTTAGGAGAGCTGGTTTACCAACATGCCATTGCCTCCAAGACAAGAATTTAGGACACCAAGGTGAGGAACGTGAGGTTGGGAAAGAAAAAAGCTGAAGCAACCTCCACATCTCAGACCCCGAGGCAAAGAAGGCAGGAGGGGGTCAGAGAAGATGGAGAAGTCACATCGCAACACATGAGGGGTCAGAGGCACAAGCATCTTCCCAGCCTCCTCTGCCTGGGGCTCTCTGAGCTTGGAGGCACTTCTATCCCCCACCGACTTCAGGAGACTTACTCTGCCAGCTTCTTGAAGCCGATGGCTCGCCGCTTTGTGGGGGTCCCATTGGTACCCTTCCAGACGTGGGTGTTCCAAGGCTCAGGCTGGGAAGAGAGGACTATGGTCACTGTAGTGAGGAAGTCTGGCTCCTCTTGGGGGATGCTCAGGACTTCCTGGGTGCTCGTGGCTGCCCAGCTTTGTCTAACCCTCAGCCCTTGCAGGGACTGATTCTGCTGGGGGTGACCACAGGGGTCCTTGCACAGAGTGGCTGGTCCAGTCTCCCTGCATTGTCCTGCTAGACCTTTCCACTCAGCCCTTAATCCCTCTCAAACACTCTCCTGGGGGACCCCATTAGTCTTTGAGCTAGAGCTGTGCTGGCCAAGAGGGTAGCCGCCAGCCACGTGGCTATGGAGCACTTGAGTGCCCAAAGAGTAAGTTTGAATTCAGACATGCTTGAAGCAAAACATGCATCCCAAATATTGAAGATTTAGCACCAAAGAGACAGGGAGGGGCAGGACCTGGTATTCGAAGGAGGGGGTGAGCCGGTAGTTGAGCATCTCCTGGTGGAAGACCGGGGTGATGCTGCCAGACATGGGGGGCACAATCCACACCCAATCTGCGGGGCAGCCCCCCCGGCAGCGGTATTCATTCTCCATGTGCTTAATGAAGGACTCGGTGGCAGAGTGGTGGTCAACGATGGTCACTTTGTCACTCTGTGGGAGGAGAGGGGACAGGGAGTCAGGAAGGAAAAGAAACTGGGGTATTTCAGGACTCTGTTCCCCATCGAGCAGCGTTTCCCAGAGGGTGGTCCCGGAGATGATGTTAGGTGGTGTAAAGTGATTCTCTGCATTTCCCTCTCAATTATACCCAGGGGAGAGTCTCCTTTTGGTGCTAACCCATTTTCAACGCCTCTCTTGCCAATTTTCCTCTCTCCTTCCTCCCTCTCCCCCTCTTTTTCACCAGAGAGAGGAACCTCAGGCAGCATTGAGCTAGAATTTAACAACTCTGTATTGTTTTCCTTGTGTTTATTTGTTTATTAATTTATTTAATATTATAATTACCTTCTATTTATGACAACTAATGCTGACCCTCCATCTATGGTGCTGATATAAAATCCTCTTAAAATAAAAATTTTTAAGTACTCAGGAGGAGTTTTTTTTTAAATTAAAACACAGAAATTGCTGTAGAGGTGGGTGGACTGCATATCTGGGTAACCAGCCCCCAGGGCCCGTGCTGGTCGGCTGGTCCGGATTCACACCTTGTCTAAACAGTGCTTTCCCTCTCTGCCCACAAACCCTTGCCCCTTTCTGCATCTTCCTTCCTCAGTCACTCATCCCACTCACATCTCTCCTATCTCTGGCTCGCCGGTCTTCATGCCAGTCCTCCAGTCTACCACACTATGCTCCATCCTTCTCAGCAACTCCCGAATACCTCACTCCTCCAAACTTGAGAGAGAAGAGGGGACTTCCTTCCCCCTCATTCCATCTCAACCTGTCTCTGCCCTGGGATATTCCTCCATGTGTCCATTCTCCCTACACCTGACATGGGAGCCCATGGTCCGTATTCATGTCTATCCATGACTTGAACCATTCATTCTACTGCATGTGCCTTCCATGGATGTCTAGGAGGGCCTAGCTTCCCAGACTCTCAACCCCCAGAGGATAGAGCTGGTCTCTATTACAGAGGGATCTCTATTCTATAGTCTTCTATAGACTTCTGCCCGGGAGAATACCAGCTAATGCCTGCCACCCTGGCATAATTATTAGCAGTGTTTTCCTTTTGCTCTCAAATTATCATGGTTTAGATAATAAATTCTACAGCCATCCAATGGAATACCACCTACCACAGAGCCACGCATTGAGTGGGCTGAGATATGCTTCTGATAATGAAGATGGGTATTCGTGTCTGTTATGTGATAGTCTGAACCCCCAAGAGGTGGCAAGACACAGAGGATGCCTGCCGTCCCAATTCTAATAAATCATAAGCAACAAGTCCTAATGCCCCTCCCTCATCTATTCATCTCTTCCTCAAACAGTCTCCACCTAAGATCCAAAGTGGAGATCAAGGCATGTATGCTGGGAAGTAGACCTTGCTGGCAGACAGATCCCCCCCTAGTAGCAAAGTCTCTTGACCTTCTGCTCCAAGCCTCTGGAAGGTTTTATAGCTCCCCCTGGAGACTCGACAACCAGGATGTGTGCCCTGCTACCTGGAAGCTGTAGAGAACAGCAATGTTGATTTCCACCAGCGCCTGGTCCTTCCACAGGGAGGACGTCTTCCTCATGTCCAAGTTCATCTTCTTGGCCACTTCCTGAAAAAGGAAGGAAACACAGACTCACAGGCTAGGCCACTTCTGGAGAGACAGGGCTAGCTAACTTCTTCACTAATTAGTCAACTCATTGCCAGACTGACAAACTCACTCAAAAGACTTTTCTATTGAGAATCCACTGGTAGCAGAAAACCAGAGAGACTTGGGTGGCCCTTTTATTTTTAAGCTTACCTTCTAGTTGGGGAGAGAGACAGTTAATATTGTGATAAGTGCTAATTCCTAGGGAGAAAATAAGACAAGGAAAGGAGATAAAGAGGGATGGGGGGCCAGATTGAGCCAGGATAGTGAGGGAAGACCGACTGTGGAAGTGGCATATCAGGTGAGACCCAGATGATGAGAAGAAGCAAGATATCTGCAGGTCTGCGGAGGGAAGGTTCTAGGCAGAGAGAACAGCAGGTGCAAAGACCCTGAGGTGGGATCAGGCTTGCACCATCTGAGATACAGAAAGAAGACCAGTGTATTTGAGGGGTGGGGGGCAGTGAGCCAGGGGAGTTGGTGGGAGAAAGAGGCAGGACTGGATCATGCAGGATTTGGGATAAGCCTAGGAGTCAGGATTTCATTCCAAATATCATGGAGAAGGTCTTTGGAGGGTTTTAAGCAGAAGAGTGGGTCTGGAAGTGGCATCATCTGCTTTCTAGAAGGAAAGGCTCTCCACCGATCCTGCTCCACACCTAGAGTAGCCATACTTGGGATCCAGACCATGGGTGCTTTGAGCTCAGGGGGACACCTGCCTGCGTCTATCTGACAGATAAGGAAACTGAGGCTCAGCAAGGTCCATAGAGCCATTTGGCCTTGGAGCTGGAGCCCAGGCAGACGCATAACATCCAAGACCTGAGAGCAGCTCCCCAGCCAGCCAACTGTGTTGACAAAACTACTGGAAACAAACCAACTCCTGACATGTTACAGTTCAAGCTGAACCAGGGGCTGATGTCAGGAGTGGGGAAGACCCAACAGCAAATTCCTTAATTAGAGCCTTGCTTTTCCTTCCTCTGTCAATTCTAGTCACTTGTGGGAGCCCAGGTCTCATTACGGGGCTAGGAGGCGACAATTTCTCAGGTTTGGGTAAACTGCTTCCCAGCCCAGCTGTCAACATTTATACAGAACAGTGGTTGGACCGGGAGGGCTGGTGCGGGAGCGCATCTCATTTAAGCTACTCGGGGAGGACTCCCTGCAATCGAAATGTAAGCAGAGATCACGAAAGCAGATCTCATATTAATTCATTCTTTGAGGCTGGGGTGTTAGGTTCTGCTGTGGTCCTTTGGCAGTGACACATCCCACAGAAAGAAAGAAATTTCCTGCTCTACATAAATACATACAAAACTTGAGTTATTTTATGAGAGAGGAAAGTGTGTATAGCCATGATGCTGCTCTTGTTACTTCTACACCATTACTTTGGTTACAAGAATGGAAAGCAGTTGCAGGAAAAAAAAAAGAAAGACTCTATGATTAAAAAAAAAAAATCTCCAAATGTGACTTGAGCCACATCTACGGAAATGGCCTGAAATGTCTTTTCCTTTCCTGCCAGAAGTTTGCAGAGATCAGTGGCTACCCAGTAGAATCTTCTGGGGAGCTTTGAAAAATGCTGGAATTGAGGCTCTATCCCTGAGCAATTATATCCAAATCCTGGTGAGTGGGACGCAGGCATAATAAGGTTCCCTAGGTAAGTCCAGTGTGTGGCAAGGCTGAGGACCCCTGGCTTCCGTTTCCAAGCTAATACCCATGGGATTTTAAAAAAATTGAGACATTGTGGGCATATAACGTTGTCTGAGTTTAGGTATACAAATTTAAGGCCTTGGTTTGACACATTTATATATTGCAATATGATTACCACTGTTAGTTAACACCTCTATCATGTCACATAATTATTATTTCTTTTTCCGTGGTGGGAACAATTAAGATCTAGTCTCTTAGCAACTTTGAAGTTTATAATTCAGTATTGTTGACTATAATTACTCTTCTCTGCATTAGATTTCCAGAACTTATTTATCTTTTTGCTGCAAGTTTGCACCCTGAAACATCTCCTCCCTAACTCCCCCACCCACGAGCCCCTGGTAACCAGCATTCTACTCTCTTTTTATGAGTTTGGTTTTTTTACATTCCACATACAAGCGATATCACACATCATTTGAATTTCTCTGTCTGACTTACCTCACTTAGCATAATGTCTTCAAGGTCTATCCATGTGAACACCCATGAGTTTTATTTTATTATTATTATTTCTAAAGACTTATTTATTTGACAGAGAGAGAAAGAGATCAGACACAAGCAGGGGGAGGGGCAGAGGGAGAAGGAGAAGCAGGCTCCCCATTGAACAGGGAGCCCGACACGGTGCTGAATCCCAGGACCCTGGGATCATGACCGGAGCCGAAGGTAGATGCTTAACCGACTGAGCCACCCAGGCGCCCCACACCCATGGATATTAACAACAGAAACCTAATGCTTGATTCTGAGTTCTAATCTTGCCTTATTTACTGTGTGACATAGGTCCAGTGCTTGCCTTCTCTGTTTCTCATGCCTCCTTTTGAAACATAGCCCGCCACACAGACAGTTGTTAGGAATCAGTTGCTGGCAGGACCACAGCTATCCTGATGCATCTGCCAGATTTGAGCTCCAGACTCCACCCTAGCAGCCTTTAGTAGATGAGGATGACTCAGCCAAGGAGGGAATCAGACCCTCCACTGAGAAATGCATACGTGGGCAAACGGCTGCCAACCCTCCTCCCTTGTTTTTCAGGAAAGAGGCAAGAAACCCTCCGAGTTCATGGGTCATTTTCTTTTTCTTTTTTTTTTTTTTAAAGATTTTATTTATTTATTTGAGAGAGAGAGTGAGAGAGAGAAAGAGCACAAGAGGGGGGAGCGGGAGAGGGAGAAGCAGACTCCCTGCTGAGCAGGGAGCCCGATGCGGGACTCGATCCCGGGACTCCAGGATCATGACCTGAGCCGAAGGCAGTCGCTTAACCAACTGACCCACCCAGGCGCCCGTTCATGGGCCATTTTCAAACCATTCTAATAAGAGGCCGTGTAGCCGGGTGGTTAGGAACTTGGACCGTAAAGCCAGACTGAGCTCACATCCCCGCTCTGCCACTCGCTAGCTGGGTCACCTTGAGCTTGTCGCTTTAACCTCTGAAAGGCCTCAGCTTCCTCATCTGTGAAACGGGGATTGTCATACCCAGAGGCTGTGCTGGGGATGAAATGAGCACCTCATCTATACACGGTGGTTGGCACAGTGCCTAGCCCATAGCACATGCTCTGTTCCCGCCACGGATGCTCTGGGATGGCTGGGGCCTTCACCAGCGGTGCAGCCTCTGTTCTAACCTCTCCCAGTTTCCAAGACCCAAAGCTCGGCTGTGGGGAAGGACTGATGGGCCGGCCCCCTCTGCCTCCTGCCTGCCCATCACGACAGCCAGGGGGGGACCTTACCTCCAGGATGTTGTATCGAGAGTTGTCACAGTAGTCACGGACGCCGATCTCCGTGCCCATGTACCAGCCGCTGAAGGGGCAGGCGCTGAACTCCAGGCCGCCAATCTCCAGCAGCATGTTGGACACAGCAGGGAGGCCGTACCACTTCAGGCCCAGATCCTTAAACCACTCAAACCTGCGGAGAGCGACACGGCCCAGCTCACCACGGGGCAGGAGTCTCTCAGGCAGACTGGTGAGGGGGGCAGCTGGAGTCTGGGGGTGTGGAAAGGCCAGCAGCCTCCTGGGACTCGCTATGTCGGCACCTGACCCCTGGGCCCCACTTCAGACCTGTGGGATTGCAGACTCCACAGCCCGGGTCCGATGATATGCATTTTTTTTTTTAAAGATTTTATTTATTTATTTGAGAGAGAGAATGAGAGAGAGAGAGCAGGAGGGGGGGAGGGTCAGAGGGAGAAGCAGACTCCCTGCCGAGCAGGGAGCCCGATGCAGGACTCGATCCTGGGACTCCAGGATCATGACCTGAGCCGAAGGCAGTCGCTTAACCAACTGAGCCACCCAGGCGCCCCGATGATATGCATTTTTAATGTGTCTCCCAGGTGATGTGGAGGAACACCCAAGCCTGGGAGCCACTGCGCTGGGCTGCTATTGATCTCCCGAACCCACTCTGAAAGTTAATCCAGGAGGAACGGAGTCTTGCCAAATTCCTTCCTACCTCAGGGACTTTGCATGGCAGTTCCTTCCTCCTGGGAGCTTCTCTCTTCCTTCTGTGGTCTGTCCAGCTCTTACCCAACCTTTAATTCTCAGCTAAAATGTTGCTTACTCTGGGAAGCCCTCCCTGATGCTCAATTTAGGTTGGGTCAGGTGGCTTGATGACTCTGGGCACTATAAAATTTCTTTTGTAGCACTTTATTGGAATTAAGCGGTTATTTGGGCAATAGCATGTGTAAGTTCTCCTTCTTGGGACCGAAAACACCACGGAGGCAGAGACCAACTCAGCTACGAAGGCTCGCACAATGGCGGGCCCAGAGCAGGAATCATAAACCATGTTGAAGGAACGCATTAATGAATGTAGGCCAGGTTTCACCAGGAAGACCGGGTGAGTTCTCAGATACTGGGTAGTGTCAGAGGCCTTAGGACGCTTGTTCCCTCTCCAGAGCTAGGACAAGGGTGAAGTCAGTAAGGCTCTAGCCTTGGGTGCAAAATATAAGGGAGCTCCAACAAACCCAGTAATTAAGACCAGGACCAATTTTTATTTACGTTATATTCTAAATTAACTCCGTGTTTTCCAAACAAAATCAATGCAAAAAAAAAAAAAAAAATCCACAGCAAACAAACCATCCAAACTTTAAAGAAAGACAGGTCCCACCTTGCAGGTGCATGACTCACCTTGCATGCTTCACCTGAATCTCAGCTCTGCACTGGATCCCGTCTTTATTTAAAATTTTCATGTAAAAAAGTTTTAAATTAAATTTTGATAAAATTTTTTGATATACAAATTAATTTTGATAAAAAGATTGCATTAAATAATACTTGTCTGGATTGTTGAGCCCCCCCACCCCATTTTGCCGCCAAGGTCAGTGTCTCACTATGGATTTCCTTCACTCTCAAAGCGTGAATTCTGCTCGTGCTGCTGGCCCAGCCCTTGCAGTTCCTTCCTGGCTCCAGATTCCTTCTGGACTTGACCCACATCAGGTCACGTAGTTTTAAATAGCTCTATTTAAAATGAGTGCCCATGACAAGACGGGATGTGCTTCTGCCTTTCTGGAAAGCTGGACAAAGGCTGGAGAAAGGGCAGGTCCTGGCTGATTGCGTAGGAGTGGGGTGAGAAGGGAGATTATGGTTCCGAGAGATGGTCATCCCCTGGCTGGCCAAGGAGGACTTACTGCTTGGAGGGGGGTGTCCACTGTGAGCGAGAAAGCAAGACCTCCTTTCAGCCTCTGTCTGGGCTGGAAGTAGAGCCAGGGGGTTTAGGGAGAGGCAGAGAGGGGCACTGGGTGAATCCTGCCCCCGCCACCCCCCCCGCCAGTTCCTCTTACTTGGGGTGCCTGATGGGCACTTCCAACACCAGCTCTGGAGGGATCTGGAAGAGCTCAGGGTCGTTGCCGTTAGCCTGGAGCAGGAGTGGTAGGACATCGAAGCGGCCCCTTGGGGGTTTCCAGCCCTGCTTCATGCAGATCTGCAACCAGAAGTGACCAGGTCACGCCACCACCACTGCTACCGTCCCCCAGACCCTCCAGACACTGGGGCAGTGGGAGAAGGTGCAGAGATCCCAGTGCAAGCCGGCCAGCAGCACCTTCCTCTGGAGGCTCTGGGCCACATTGTTCTTGTCCACCGGGAACTCCCGGAGGGCAAGCGCGGAATCTGACTGTTTTATCTATAACACCCTCGAGCACAGGGTCTGGCACGTCCTAGGTACTCACTCTGGAACTGTGTGCATCGGGTACCCTGAGATAGAAAGAAAACCTGAGGCGCCTGAGTGGCTCAGTCGTTAAGCGTCTGCCTTCGGCTCAGGTCATGATCCCAGGGTCCTGGGATCCAGCCCCACATTGGGCTCCCTGCTCCGTGGGAAGCCTGCTTCTCCCTTTGCCACTCCCCCTGCTTGTGTTCCCTCTCTCTGTCAAATAAATAAAAATCTTAAAAAAAAAAAAAAAAAGAAAACCTACCACATTTGACGAGGGCGGAATTATTAGAATTTGTGCATAAATGCATCTGTTAGAGCAGCTGTCCAACTGAAATATAAAGCAAGCCAATAGGTAATTGAAATCTTTTTAGTAGCTACATTGAAATTTTTTTTAATTTTTATTTTTTTAAAGATTTTATTTATTTATTTGAGAGAGAGAGAAATAATTTAAATAATATGTTCATTTTAAATAATATATTTTAATTTCAATAATATTTGATTATCAGTTACTAATCATAATTATATTTATTATATTGATATTAAATTATTAATATTATATTAAATAAAGTATCGATAGCAACATATTTAACATTAAAGTTAAATATGTAATATAGTTATCCAAGAAAATGTCAAATATACAATACAGAACATATAATTAAATGTATTAACCATTAATGTCATAATGATAAATTATTAAATACATTATTAATATTACTATAAAAGATATTTAACATAAATGTTAATACATTTATTAACTCAATAGGTGTATTAATTTTTAATAAACATAATAGGGTAGTCTAACATTATCTACAGTATTATTTCAATATGTAATCAAGATGAAAATTATTAATGAGGTACTTTCCACTCTCTGTTTTGTTCTCAGTCTTCGAGATCCAGTGTGTATATTTACACTTACGACACACCTCAGTTTGGATTTTTCCAGGGCTCACTAGCCACATGTTGCCGGAAGGCTGCCACACTGGACAGCACAGAGCAAGAGGGTTTCGAAAGATATGGTTACGAGGGCGCCTGGGTGGCTCAGTCGTTAAGCGTCTGCCTTCGGCTCAGGTCATGATCACAGGGTCCTGGGATCGAGCCCCGCATCGGGCTCCCTGCTCGGCGGGAGGCCTGCTTCTCCCTCTCCCACTCCCCCTGCTTGTGTTCCCTCTCTCACTGTCTCGCTCTCTCTAATAAATAAATAAAATCTTAAAAATAAATAAATAAAGGGGCGCCTGGGTGGCTCAGTCGTTAAGCGTCTGCCTTCGGCTCAGGTCATGATCCCAGGGTCCTGGGATCGAGCCCCGCATCTGGCTCCCTGCTCTGCGGGAAGCCTGCTTCTCCCTTTCCCACTCCCCCTGCTTGTGTTCCCTCTCTCACTATGTCTCTCTCTGTCAAATAAATAAATAAAATCTTTAAAAAAAAAAAAGATATGGTTACGTGGTTATGTTTGGGGTGATTCTTTCTGTGGTGTCCGTAGGGAGAGGAAGCACGAAATCAGGGGCTTAGGAGAACACGTGCTGTTCGCGAGGTTTCTGGAGACAGAAGGGGAGGAAGAGGCCAGGAGGACAAGGTCAGCCAACTATGCAGTTAGCGCTCAGCCAAGTGGAGCCGAGAGTCTGGCTGAGTCAAAATCAGCACAAGTGCAACTCCTGGTCGCCCTGGTTACAGCCCCTTCTTGATAATAACATTCTAATAAGAAAAGCCACATGCAGATGAAGTCAGCAGTAATGAGGGACTGGAGCAACGCTTGATCGTGCCAGCTCTGTCCTGAGGGGTGGCGTCTGAGGAAAGAACAGAGATGAACCTCGACTGGGGATGAGTGGGTGATAAATAAGAGGGGTGCCGGGCTGTGTGCCCGAGATCATTCTAGGCATGGGTCTGCCCGCAGCGTCTCCTACGGGCAAGGTGCTGTAAGCCACCGTGCATTCCCTATGCTACCTGTCTGCATCCCCACGGATGGGGAAATGGTGGTGTATGCTTTCCTGGTGGGTTTTAGGAACTGACTCGGGCTGCCAGAAACTGTGGTTGTCTTGGTACAATGCAGAGACAAGCCCATCCAAAGAGAGGCTGGATAGCTAGAACTGGGTAATCGGATGAAGGAATGATAGGAGTCTGCGGTATTACCCAACTCAGAGCAGGCATACTTGTCAGCTTCTCTCCTGCTGGTGGGAGGCAGGAGATTTGGACTGCACTTCCAGCTTTCTCTGTGCTCATTTGGTGGCCTTGGATAACTCACTGGGCTCTGGTGAGACCCAGTCTACTCATCTGTGAAGTGGGACACCAGTTCCTATCATGAGAGCTGGGGGAGGTAATGGCTGCAGATGACCAAATGGCCAGCTGGAATGGAACCAGCTGGACTTGGGGCAGCCAAAAGGAACAGGAGGTCCGGAGAAGAGTCCATGGTATCCCTTCTGGCTGCTTTCCCTATGACGATAACATTAAAGTAAGAAATGACTGTGGATAAAGCCAGTTTGGGGGACTGAGAGCCCAGGCGAGGGCCAGGGGGGCACACACCTCTGTGAATTCCACGTTGGCTGGGTCCCCGAGGATGGTGCCGTCGGGCTGCTTGTAGCCGGCGTAGCGGATGAGCTGAGAGTTCCAGACTCGGAAATCGTGCTTGCCGTCAGTCCTCTGTGGAAATATGGTGATGGCTGACCTGTGGCGGAGAGAGGGGGACGTGCGGTGTCAGGGCGGGGCTTGCACCTCGCGGACCTATTGGAAAGGGTGTCACCCAGGCCACCCAGTGTGTGAGGCTCAGGGTGGATGACCTCTGTGCCAAGGTCCTTAAGGGACCACGGGCCGCTGTTGGAAGGGAGGAACCATGCCCTGTCCCCACACTGGAGCACTGGTCTGAGGAAGGGTGGATGATGGGAGGCCCCACGCCAGCCCACTGAAGAACAGAGATTGCTGCTCTAACTGGAAACTCTTAAACCCTCTTGACTTGGGCCAGTTTCCCAGGGGTTCTTTGGCAGCAGGTGACCTCCAGGGAAACAACATGGGATCCTCCTTCCCTCTAAGAGCCCACCACTGATTCCCAGTTCCAGTCTTGCTCTTACTGCCATCCTTAACTTCTCGCCCCACCTGCGCCCACTCCCAGTACCATACAGAAGTCTACGCACTTACAGCTAAGAAGAAATCTTAGTGCTTCCTTTGTACTCACATTTATTCACTTTAAACGAAAACTGGAGATCGCCACTGGCCTCGCCTACCTAAAGAGGCAACTAGAGAGTGTATACATTGCAGGAAGTTTCTGTGGTTTGCTGAAGGCACCTAGCTGGGGGCTCAGCTCCCTCTGCTAACAGGGAGATCAGCAGCGTTAGAGAGGTGTTAAGGATGTCTTCTCACCAAACTGAGACTTTCTCTTTAGCATCATCAGAAGGTTGAAAACAATGGAAAGGAGAATGACTTCTTCACAATGTGGTTCAATGTGATCTCATACCAGGAGCTCTGGCCACCCCGCTCATCAGTGCCATCCCTGGGCTCAATCCCAGGCTATGGGAGCCACCACCCTGGCTTGTGTCCGCATGAGGATCACATGGCAGGTCCAGCCCATTGCTTGCGGATCTTCTCCTCTACACATTCTGCCCCTGGAACTTGGCCCTGCTGCCCACGTTGGCAGGAATCCCTCTCTGCTGTCATGTACCCAAATTCAAGGCCCGACTCAGATTCACTTCCTCCACAAAGCGTCCCCTGTCTCATCTGTTCCCAGGGCCACCCTCTTTCTGAGCACCTGTGGGTCTCACCGGGTGCGCAAGACTGTATCATATTTAATACTGCAGGGCTGGTGCACTGCACGGGGCAGGGGGAGCCCAGAACGAGGGCTGCAGGGAGGAGCCAGAGAGCCAACAGCTTGTCCACAAGCTCATGGCAAAGGCGCCATATTGGAGATGAGCACAGAATGGGTCAAACTGGCAGCACTGTCTTCTGCAGTAAAACACACGGCCGTTTCTTTGGTTGAGCACCAGATAAAGGGTGTGTGTGTAACATATATATTTAAAAAGCATGTTTAGAAACACCAGACTCACACACAGCGGGTGGAATGCTTATTCTACGTGCGGGAACCGAGACCAACAGAAGAAAACAGACCACATCTAAGTCTCCTAAACATAATTTCACTGAATGGCAGATTGAATGCCTTACATCTCTCTCCTTCCCTTCTTCTCCCATGCCTGCTTTCCTCTGTTACGTTTAGATTATTTCTATGTACGGTATACATTCTCTGATGGCCTTCTTATCATGTCCAGATGTGTGGTTGTAAAAAACACAAAAGAATCAGCTGAATAGTTTCTTTAGGAGAAGATCTCAAGAACCGCCCCCCCACCCCGACCCACTGATAACTGAAAAAAGGGGAGGTGCACTGCCCGGCTTTTGGTGACTCCCCCCTCCCCCATTATTGCCTTGTAATAGCACCATTTAGAAACTACCAGAACAGCCCATAAGCTCCTGGAGGGCTGAGACCTTGACTGGGCCTTCCTTTGATGCTCAGGATATACAGGAGGGTTCCTTGATGTTCTCCGAGGGGTGAGGACTTTTAGGAAAAGATGGAAAGACCAATTCCCCAAGCAGGCTCTGGGCTTATATTACAGGCCTCTTCCCTACTGGTGGGCTCAGCTGGAACAGTGTTTCCTTCTCAAGGAAGGGACACAGCCAAGAAAACCCACACTTAATGCAAGCAAGCCACTATGGGGATGAGCTCAGTGCAGCCTGGGGTCTGTGGGAATGAATCTCCCTACATTGGCGCGCACGGCCCCACCGTGGGGCTGGTCCTCAGCAGCTGGGACCAGATGCCGGGGCAGAACCAATGGATGGCAGAGGATTGACAAGTAGACCTGCCTGGCTGCAGGGCCCCAGCTGTTTCCTTCCAGGGGCAACTTGCCAGCATGGAAGCCACCAGCCCACACCGGTGCCTCCCTGCCTTGGCCTCCTCCCTGGGGCTTTGTTCTTTGTTCGGGGCAAGAGGAATCCAAGGTGTGGCTTGGCTTGGTGGAACCTGAAGGAGCTGTGCCCACAGCGGCAGGAAGAGACAATGTCTTTGAAGCCCAGGAAAATTCTAAGGCAGCTCCAGGCCACACAACAGGAGCTGGTACAAGCAGGTCACCGTCGGCACTGGGATTTTCCGAGTCCTGGGAATGGGACACACCCCTTCCTGCCCCCCTCCACGGGCTGATACTGAACTGTGGGTTGAACGTGATTTTGGCCGCTGTTGCTTTGCAAACCACGCAAGAGTCTGTTTCTCCCAGAAGAGACGGGACATGGCAGGTAGAAAAAAGCAACCAGGCCTCCTCTCCCCAAGAGGAAAGGGGGAGCATTTCCTCAGCAGGTGAGCCAACTCCAGACCTTAAAGATCAATGCTCTGGGGACATTAGACTCCCCTCCCACAAGCTGGCAGGCTCACCTGAGGTTCCCTTTGTTGGTGGCATACTTGATGTGGTTGCAGATGTAGTTGAACATCCCGTGAGCCGTGGTGCAGTCGCGGGCATCGAACACCTGCCAGGGGTACCTGGTGAGAACGGAGCCTTCTCCTCCCCTCCTCGGCTCCCCCAGTGCGGCCTGCCCAGGCGGGGAGAACCCGGAGCCCACTCCACCTGCTGCCCCACTTGGGGAGAGAGCCCTCCACTAATGAGACCTAGGCTGGGTTTTATAGTGTTTTTTTTTTTTTTCTATCCTCATAACCACAGTTATCAAACCAGGAAAAATCCCCTGAAAGCAGGCACGGTGTGTAGGTGCATGTGGTTACAGGATGATGAGTAAAGGAGAGACTTTAGTGGGCTGGATGGATTTCCTGCTAGGTTACTAGGGATCAGGTTACTAGGGAACAAAACAAGTAACAATCAAACAAAACCCCCTTGAACTTGATAACTAATCTATTTCCAACTTCAAACTACTCCCCAGGGGACAGAGAATCGAATACTTTCAGGGAGTAGGCAGATAGTATAAATAAGCAAAGAGAGTAGGTGGAAGACAAAAGGGAGTGGTGGGGTCTGTGGTAAACTGGAGAGCATAAACCTTACCAAGAGACATGCAAGTTCCTTTTTAAACAGCACTGTGTTGGCTCAATGAGACATGACTGTAAGGCAGATTCAGTCATGATCTGAGAATCTGGGACCCCATGACCACTATCTGATATCTCACCATGCCTTCCGGATGCCCTTGGAGAGAGCTGACCCTTTGTAAGGCTCATCCCTCCCCACCCACCAAAGAGCCTTACCGCCTACCTGCAGCTTGGACCACTGGATCCTGCCAACGCAGCGGGATGCATTCCGCCAGGCGTGCTTCGCCCCGTAGATGAGCTCCGTGTCTTTGAGCTGGTAGGTGCCGTTGGTTTCGATCTCTTTGTTCACCTCTTCCAGCCTCTCTGTGTGGGCTTTGGAGCCAAATCTGAGTGAGGAAGGACAGGACATGGGATTGTCACCTTCTCTCCTGAATTAGAGGTTGGTGGAATGGAGCGAGCCATTCAGGAGGGCAGAAGCCACAGCAAGTCTGAGTTGGTATGTGGCCACAATAGTTCAAGCATAAGCAGATGGCAAACTCAAATGCCCACAAAGGTCCGGTAGTGATGAACTGGCTGGGTGGGGACTGTGGCCAGCCAGTGAGCTTGTGCCCGGTTCAAAGGCGGGCAGCTAACACTCTGCTCCTGCCAGTTGTCATCCTGTAGGAATGGGGGCCCAGGGCAGCCAGGTCTCCTTTCAAGAGAAACTGGAAATCTGATGTTTATTTTAATGTTATTTATCTATTTATTTATTTTTAAAGATTTTATTTTTAAGTAATCTCTACAGCTAATGTGGGGCTCGAACTCACAACCCTGAGATCAAGAGTCATGTGCTTCACCAGCTGAGCCAGCCAGGTGGTCCTGGAAATCAGATTTTTTTTTTTTTTAAAGATTTTACTTATTTATTTGAGAGAGAGCGAGCGAGCACAAGCAGGGGGAGCAGCAGAGGGAGAGGGAGAAGCAGGCTTCCCGCTGAGCAAGGAGCCCAGCTGTTGGAATGGCACCGCTGTGGGCATTAATCTTTAGGAGAAGATCTCAAGAACCACCCCCCCACCCCGACCCACTGACAACTGAAAAAAGGGGAGGTGCACTGCCCGGCTTTTGGTGACTCCCCCCTCCCCCATTATTAAAGGCCCCCTGGAAATCTGATTTTTAAAGACAACTCTTCCTGGGGTTTTCTGCAGCTGTATAATATTCCATGACTTGGAAAATACCACTGCTTACTTACACATTCTCCTGTTGAGGGAGCTGAGGTGGTTTCGGTTGGCTCTTTGATTTTAATTTTTTTTCCTATTATAATAATGTCTCAGTGAGCATTTTTATGTACGTCTTCTGGTGAACAATTGTGACAGTTTCTTTAGGGTAGTATGCCTAGACACGGAATTGCTTGCGATGTTTCCAATTTAAGCAACACCTTGTAGGCCAAACAGAGACATTTCTGGGGGCCAGATTTGGCCCTTGGGCTACCAGTTCTCAACCTGTGTGTTTGGAGGGCAGAGCCTTCATGCTTAGGTCTCGGTTCAACCTTCATAGAGTTGGAGCTGATGTCTTGTCCCGGTACTCGGTAATTCACCCTGGGTCCCCAGAGTCAACACACACTTGCCTTTTAATTGATGAGTAGTACTGATCAATGAACTCTTTGGCGAGAGGGAAGAGCTGTTCTTTTGTGCGGACATCTTCAGGCCTTCGTATTTGCTGAGATGGGAGCATAATGGAGCTCATACAGACGTGCTCAGTGCATCCTGTTTCCTGGAGGGAAAAGAGAGAGTTGGATGATCACTTGGTTTTAGCACAGGTGGGGCTGTGGACCTGGATCTGACACTCGTTGTGGAGTTTACCTGGCCTTTAATTCCCAAATAGGATTTCTCAAGTACCAGCTTCAAATCATTGGATGGTTTGACCATCACAGGATGGTGGTCATCAGTCAAGGTGAGGATCGACAGGCAGCGTTTTCAGGTTCTGAAAGTGTTTGCTCTACTCAACTAGGGGAAGAGGGCCTTTCTGACTGGCATTCCCTGGGACTCAGACTCATTGGTACTGAATCCCCAAGTATTTTTTTTGATCCCATGTTGATCTAGAAGGAACTTGTAGGTGGTTGTAGTAGCTCATTTGAACACATCTCTGGGACATTGACTGCAAAAACATAGCCCCAATTTTCTCTGCCCTATATTCACACCCTTTGCGATGTGACAGCTGGCCCCTCAGATGACTGCAGATGCTTGAGATCAACTGAGACCAGTAGAACCACTGAGCCAATCTGTGGACTTTTGAAAAATAATAAGTGGTTGCTTTTTTTAAGCCACTGAGTTTCAGGGATGTTTGTTACACAGCAATAGTTAACTGATACAATGTGCTTCCAAGAGGCTCATTTTCAACAAAAATGTAAAGCAACATGTTGATTGGCTGGCTGTTAAAAATATGACATAAAAGGGGCGCCTGGGTGGCTCAGTCAGTTAAGCGGCTGCCTTCGGCTCAGGTCATGATCCCGGGGTCCTGGGATCGAGCCCCGCATCAGGCTCCCACTCAGTGGAGAATCTGCTTCTCCCTCTCTCTCTGCCTACTTGTGCTCTCTATCTCTCTGTCAAATAAATAAATAAAATCTTTTAAAAAAAATGACATAAAAGTTTAGCTGAAATACAGTGAAAGCAAGGAAGGGCTTGGTCAATACTTCATCAGTGCTCTGTGAGAGAGAAAATGTGTTCAGAACCAGCAACTCCTCCACTTTTGGGTTCTTTTGGGTTCCAGGTACACAAATAAAAGTATTTCCTTGAGTGAATAAGTAGCCACCAGCAGTTCTCAAGTGGGAGTGGATTTCCCACTTTTGGGTTCTTTTAGGTTCAAGGTACACAAATAAAAAGTATTTCCATGAGTGAATAAATAGCCACCAGCAGTTCTCAAATGGGAGTGGATTTCCCACCCAGGGGACACTGAGTGATATCTGGAGACATTTTTGGTTGTCACAATTTTGGGGGGGGTGACAGATATCTCGTGGGTATAGGCCAGGAGTGATGCTAAACACCACACAGTGCACAGGGCAGTCCCCACAACAAAGACTTAGCCAACACCAAACATGGTTAGTGTGAGGTTGGTCTATATCCTGCTGGGATACTCACCAGGGTGCTCTTAAGGTGAAGGGTGTCAGTGAGGACCACGTCGGTCTCCCAGTTCTTGACCTTGAGGAAGCGGGGGCACTTGGAGGGGCTGCCATTCTTTGTGGGAGACTGTTTTCCCGAGGCAGGGGGCTGGAGGAGAGAAGGAAGGATGAGACATTAGACAGGGTCCTGAGGACACTGGAAAACTGTGTCCACTGGGATGGGGAGAAAAGTTGCTTTTCGTAGAATCTGCCAGAGTCACCAAGTATCTGCACAGAGTGAAGGACTCATTCTCCCAGGGTAACACATGCTAACCAGGGAACCTGGTGCCTCTGCCTATGCTGAAGGAGACACCTTGGAAAAGCCTTTTGGGTTCTGTTCTACAGGGAGGGCCCTCTCAAAGGTGGCCTCTCTGGTGTCTAGCACAGGTCCTAGCATATAGCAGGGACTCACTGAATGTTTGTTGAATGAGTAAATAACCAAGGGATGCTGTCAGCTTCTCTGAATGGTACCAGCTTTCAGGCCTGTGGATGTCTGAGCTTTCCTGTTACTGTCCAAATTCACTACTTCTGGTAAGTACTGGGAAAACAGGAAAGATCCAATTAGAAAGTCCTAAAGCATAGACTGTTTCCCCCAAATGCCAGGTTTCTGCCTCTCAAAAATGCCAAGTGTATCCCTGCGTCAGGGCCTTTGCACTGACTGGTCCCTCTGCGTTGAACACCTCCAGTCCCCCATTTGTCTTCACTTCCATACACTAAATGCCTAGTTGGTGGTGGGGGATAAGTCCTGGGCTCACCAACATTGGCCCATCCATTTTAGACCTCATTAATAAGGATTACATTCTGTCTTGGGTGTTTCTGAATAATTGTCTACCTGCCTATGCATCAGACAAGCATGGGTGTCAGTCAGCAACTGGAAGGGAGAGGCAGCGGGCACACTCTGCTGCGTCAGCTGAGTGTGAGAGGGAAGACAAGCCAGTGTGGAGTGACACTCATGCCAAAGAACGGAGCACTGGATAGTGACCTTGCAGCAGGGCATTCACATGCTCAACTGGTATTTATTGAGCACCTACTGTGTGCTAGACACTGTTAGACACTGGGGACACTGTAGTAAACAAGACAGAGAGTGCCCTGGCCCTGCTGGGACACTGCTGGGAGAGAAGTGGAGATAAATCATAAGTAAACCCATACATGAACCACTAGAATATCAGTTGGTGATAAGGATATATGATGATGAGGGGAAAAAGGCAAGTGCAAAGGCCCTGAGGTAGGGATAAGCTTGTTAAGTTCAAAGGACCAGCAAGGAGGCCAGTGTGGTTGGAGTGGAAAAATGTGGTTAGTGTAAGGAGATGAAGTCAGACAGGAGGAAGAGTCCTCATCTCATTGGCTTGGAGGAACTCAGGCGGGTGAGGAAGCTGTGAATTACAATGAAATGGGCTGAGTCCAGGAGAGAAATCGTAGAGTATGCTGAAGGGCTAATATTGAAAACCGGCATTCAAGAAGCACTTACTATATGCGAAGCAAAATCTTATCATGCCCATTTTACAGATGAGGAAACTGAGGCACAGAGAGGTTAACTAAGTTGTCCAAGGTCACAGAGTTAGTACACTGGAGCCAGGAGTCAAATCCTGGCAGTCTGCCCTTCAAACCATGTCCTTAACTACTGGACTCTCCTGCCTCTTGGCCCTTATGCATAATTCATCCATTCATTCATTCATTCAACATGGGTTTATTGAGTATCTCCTATGTTCCAAGCAAGGTTGCAAGGGCCAGGGCTACAGTGACAAACTAGGTAGATGTGATTTCTGCCCTCATGGAGTTCACAGGGCATTGTGGGAGCGGGGGGAGGGATGACAGGTGTATGATCATTATAATCAAGTGCAATGGGTGCTATAACATGGGATGCTGGAGGTGTATAAGGAATTGTGGAAGCAAATAGAAGAGACACCTAACCCAGAGCATTTGACTTCTAATCGAGACCTGAAGGACAAGTAGGTGTTAATCAGGCAAAGAGAGAAGAGCAAGGTCTTGCAGGCAGAAAGACCAGCTTATGCAAAGGTCCTGAGGTGAGAGGCATATCATAGCCTCCAGAACCATGCAAGTGACAGCAGAGAACAAATGGAAGGTGCCATGACTCATGATCTTCCACACCTCCCTGCTGTGGCCAGATCCAGTCATCCCCCCAGTGGTTCCCATCTCAGTGCTGGGCATCACCATCCATCTGCCTGGGCAAGCCACGGGGAGGGGGGGGTGGGGAGCTATCCTGGACATCGTTCTCTTTATCCCCCTGCACCTGATCTGTCCCCAAGTCCTACCATTTTAGCTTCTAAAGAGCTCTAGAATCCACCCCCTCCTCATTCTCCCCATTTAACTGACCAGCACGCCAGCCAGACCAGCATCATCTTTCACTTGGATGAATGCAATCACCTCCTAAATCTTAGCCATCACTTACTGCTACTGGTGCTTTAGTCCACCCCAGTAGGTTTCAGTACTGTAATCTATGGAGTCATCTATGGTACACCTGCTAGTCCTATCAGGACCGCCATTGCCATAAGTATTACTACAGTCCGTCCACACCAGGAGCAGAAGGATGTAGAAGAATTCTTCCCTTCTTTCCCATTTGTACTTTCTGCCTGCTAAGCTCCAAGTTATTTTCCTTCTGTCCCCTTATGAAGCCACATCCCAGACAGCTCCATTTCCTTTGAAGGCCTGGCCAGGCAGCCCCAACGCTTCTTTAAGATCTGTTTTCACTACGGTCTCTTCCGGCAGACATGCAGGTGATGGATGTCACATCTTTGGGCAAGACTTGGTAGCGACAAATTCCTCCGACCATGCCAACAGCCTGCAGCCATGAGAACCAAAAAATCTGACCTTGCCCAGGCGGGAGGCACCCCAGCGATCAGTCCCTAAAGACTGAGCATCACTCAGCCTGTTTACAAACTCTCTTGATCATCCACATGGATGCCCTAGAGGCTGGGGAGTGGCTGGAATCCCAGACGGGGGGTAACAGACACAGTGGGGAGCACCGTGAGGCAGGAGGAGGAGGTGTGGGGTGTGGCTGGTGGGTGGGCAACCAGCAGCCTTCGTTGGCAGGGTGTGGTGGGAGTGAGGTAACAAGCATAATGAAAGAGGCCATCTTTTGAGGTTCCAGATGTGTGATGGGTGGTCATTACGAGCCAAGAAATTGGGGGCCCGGGCCTGAGCCGTGCCTCTCCACCCTGGGCTGCGTTGAACTGCACACTTGAAACCAGGCATTAGGAGGCCCCTGTCAGGGCTGTTGTACTTGGGGCTTTGATGTTTTAATTAGCCAGCAGTAATATTAGATGACTCAGGAGGGGACAAATGGGGAGATTAATATAGCAGTCAGGGGCCCTGCATGGGGGATGCAAATGACTTTTCTGAGTGGGGAGGAAATGTTCTCGCTAAAAATGCAGATTAGGGGCACTTGTGACTTATTAAGCTGGGGACAGGGCACAAGTGGGCTTTGGGCAGCATTTACACGCATCCTTTTCTGGATTTGTGTCTGGGGTGGTCAGTGGAAGCTTTTCAGGTGGCGGGAGACACTGGCTAGATCTCGGTGGGCTCTGTGGGAGCGCTGCCTGGGATTGCTCCTAAATGGGGACAGGAGGCTCTGAACTTGTGGGCATTTCAAAGGCTTTGTCAACACCTCTTTGCTTCTGGAGCTGGCAGGGGTCCTGAAGAAATGGAAGGCAATGGTCTTGCAGCCAGAGAGGAGATAGTGAGGCAAGGCCCTATCAGCCCAGAGCCCTGAGCCCGGAATTCAGCTTTGTAGGTACCCTGACACCCTGTTTCCTTCTGCCCTCTCCCTCCTCTCTCTCCTTCAACAAATACCTACTGAGCACCTACTGTGTGCCAGGGACTTGTGTTCTTGGCCCTACAGTGGTTCCCACTCTCATTCCACAACTGCGGGAAGCCTCGTACACCTGCATGCAGGGATCTGCAAACTGCAGCCCGTGGGCCAAATCTGGTCTGCTGCCTGTTTTTATCCAGCCCACAAGTTAATGATTTTTCCATTCTTAGCCCGTTGAATAAAAATATCAAAAGAAGAGTAATGTTTCATGACACATACAAGTTATAGGAAGTTCAAATTTCAGTGTCCATAAATAAAGTTTTATTGGCACACGGCCACACTCATTTGTTCTTTTTTTTTTTTAAAGATTTTATTTATTTATTTGAGAGAGAGAGTGAGAGACAGAGAGATCATGAGCAGGGAGGAGGGGTAGATGGAGAAGCAGACTCCCCGCTGAGCAGGGAGCCTGATGCGGGACTCGATCCCAGGACCCAGGGATCATGACCTGAGCTGAAGGCAGATGCTTAACTGACTGAGCCATCCAGGTGCCCACGCTTTATTCTTCTTCAAGGCACTTTTCACTGCCTGCAATTTGCGAGTGTCTATGTATCTGCATGTATATATATATCTATGTCTCTGTGTCTTATAGATCCGTATATATATATATGTAATATCTACAGATGTTTAGATACAGATGTGTCCAGCCCCTAGACGAGTGTCCAGCATATAGTACATACCCAACAAATACCTGAGGTTTGTGACGGACTGAACTGTGTCCCTCCTGAATTCATACGTTAAAGCCCTAACTTACTGGAGACAGGACCTCAGGAAGTAATTAACATTAAAAGAGGCCATGAGAGGGGCGCCTGGGGGAGCCTGGGTGGCTCAGTTGGTTAGGCGACTGCCTTCGGCTCAGGTCATGATCCTGGAGTCCCGGGATCGAGTCCCACATCGGGCTCCCTGCTCGGCGGGGAGCCTGCTTCTCCCTCTGACCCTCCTGACCCTCTCCCCTCTCATGCTCTCTCTCTCTCAAATAAATAAAATCTTTAAAAAAAAAAAAAAAAGAGGGGCACCTGGGTGGCTCAGTGGGTGAAGCGTCTGCCTTTGGCTCAGGTCATGATCCCGGAGTCCTGTTATCGAGTCCTGCATCAGGCTCCCTGCTCAGCGGGGAGCCTGCTTCTCCCTCTCCCTCTGCTCCTCCCCCGCTCCTTGTGCTCTCTCTCTCACTCATTCTCTCTCTTAAACAAACAAATAAAATCTTTAAAAAAAAAAAAAAAAAGAGGCCATAAGAGTAGGACCTAATCTGATGGGATTGGTGGCCTTATAAGAAGAAGCAGAGA